AAAAAAAAAAAAAAGAATTTAACTCTTGACACAAATCATTCAAATAAATCCAAAGTAACATACTGTATAAAAGGCACTTTTCCCTGTAAGCTAATACCTTACTTTCTATAGTGCTTTACATGTTGTAGTATAAATATTAATTCATTTGGCATTTTTATGATTTAGTCAATAGACAATTCCAATGGGATTGGAAATAAATTGTTCTAATGGAGTGTTTTTAATAATAATAAGTCAAATTCTCCCAGTACACAAACTACTCCAAAGATGAAATAAGCAAGAATTGAGTTAGTACTCTTTTCCATTGTTTACCCACCTGAGTTTTTACATAATTAAAGCTACAATGCTCTTTCCTCTCGACTTCAGATTTAAATCTATACCTTCCTTCTGTGCATCTTTGTTTTGAGATTTTATCAACACAGTTAGTTAAGCTTTTATTGTAATAAGTACCAGAATCCACCTACAGGAACTGATTAGTCCACTTCATTGCTTATTCTACCAATACTGAATGTAACATCAAATATGATTTTTTTACTCCCATGTAAGCACTGTCCCTTAAACTTGGTAGTCAAATTAACTTAGGTTGTTTCTAGTTTGGGGCTATTATAACATTTGAGTGCAAGTTTCTGTGTGGATATCCATTTCCCTTCTTGTGTGTCTATACCTAGGAATGGAATTGATAGGCCATGTGATAACTCTTGGATTAATCCTTTAGTCAACTACCAAAGTGTTTTGGAAAGCAGCTGCATCATTTTACATTGCTACCTGCAGTGTATGAGCCTTGCACTTTCACCATATCCTTGCCAAAGTGTTTTATAATTGGAGTTGTTAGTGGATATGAAGTAGTCTCTCACTGAAGTTTAGGTTTGCATTTAACTGATGGCTAATGATGTTAAATATCTTTTCCTCTGCTATTGACCATTTGTGTCCTTTTTCAACTAACATCTAGCTATGTCCATACAGTGGAGCATTACTCAACAGTTAAAAGGTAATGGAGCAATAATACATGTTACAACATAGATAAACCTTGAAAACCTTATGCTAACAGAAAGAATCTATACACAAGTCGACATATTATATGATTCAATTTTTATGAAATATTCAGCATCTATAACTCTATTCAAAAAAGTAAACCAGAGCACTAATTTCTAAGGGCTGAGGAGTTTTTGTTGAAATAAGGAGTGTTTTCTAATAGGAACAGGGTTTGTTTTTGGAGTGATTAAATTGTTCTAAGTCTATGATTTTGATGGTAGTACAATTCTTTGAATATGCTAAAAATCATTGATTTGTATATTTTAAAGGTCAGATTGGCTGGGCATGTGGAACATGCTTGTAATTCCAGAATTCTGGAAGGCTGAGGAAGGAAGATAGTAAGTTTGAACCCAGCACAAGCAAATCTAGTGAGACCCTGTCTCAAAATTAAAAATTATAAAAGGGCTAGAGATGAAACCAGGTGCAAAGGCCCTGGTTCAATCCCCAGTACCATTATAAAAGGCTGAATTGCATGGCAAATGAATTATGCCTCACTGATGTTATTATTTTTAAAAAATACATTCTTTAGGTTGAAATATATTTGCTGTCTATGTGAATAAACTGAATATCACCTTAGAGACACTGAAACAAGCATGCAGCCATCACATAGGAATATCCATGTCACTTTCCTCAAACACTAATTTCATAATAATTTTCATTCTATGAAGAACACTTTCATATTAAATCTGCACTCAGTTCCTCAGGGTAGGACTGCTTTCTCAAGTTTCTGGCCCTACAAGTGCACACACTTGCTTTTCAGGCAACATTGGTTGAATGAATAACTGGAAAGAATAAAAAAATCAAATCTAAATCCTTTAGCTGTGCTTTTAAAAAACCTCCCCAAATATACCAATTTGGATACATCTTCATCCCTTATTGTTCCTCCTCCAGTCCTTTCTACAAGAGAGAGTTCATTATTCTGTAGCCTGTGCCTCTTATCTCTTATGTGTGTGCATGTACTCCTGTTCCTACGGGAACAGTTCAAATGCATTCACCCATTATTCTTAGACTATTACTTCCTTCCAAGCTTTTCTCAATAGACACCATTTCTAGAAAGTCCCTATGATGATCTCCACCTTGTAGTTAACATTCTGAGCATATATTTATTTGTAATAATGCAGAATAATTATAGTAAATAGTTATTGATTGCTTTCTGTATGTCAGGTACCAACAAATATGATTTATTTCCTATTATTAGACACTAGTTTTGGCTTTATGTTACAGGTGAGGAAAGTGAGGTAAAACTAGAGAAAGGTAAGGTCAAAAGCAGAAGCTATATTTGCTTTTTGTTCTTGCACATATGAGGCAGGCTCATATTTGCTTTTGTTATTGCTTCAAGTTGTGTCTTGATTGCATTTTGTAAGGAAAATGAAAGTTAAGGAAAAAATTTTTTAAATACAAAATAAAAGATAAGGAACACACACACCTATGCAGAAAATCAATCTTTGCTTTGCGTCCTGAAGATCTCTATTATCTATTATCTTAGATTTCAACTTCCTTCCTTAGGAAATGAGCTAAAATATTTACTTTGTGAAATTTTAATGAGATAATATTCTAAGCATGTTTTATGTAAACTATAAGGATCTGGGAAATACAGAGCATCACAATTCTATTCTTGCGTGGTTGTGCTTATAATACACACACAGAAGCAAATGAAAGAATTTTTATTAAAATCTCTAACATCTTTATAAATCATAGACAAAAACTTTTATCATTAAGGCTAATGCTGAATTTATGCTTTTTAAAATAAACAGTGGCATGCTAAGAGAAGTTCTTTTACATTAAAAAGTTCCTTGTTTATTCCCCAGAACAAAGCTTTGATCTGGAGAGTCTAAATGAGCTCTCTGAGAATACACATTATTTGAAAAGGAAAAGAAAATGAAAATATCTGTGAAAAAACTTGTCTTCTGATATTATCTTTCCTTGTAAATATATCATGATGGTAAATATTTAAAGACAATAAAGATGTGTAGTCATAGGATACATGGCTAATTGAGTAGCACAATAGTTATCTTTAATATTTAAAAAAATTGTATCTTTAAACTTTCTATAAGGTTTACTTGTTCAAAAATAACTTAGAAAGATACAAGCAGTTACATGTTTATACTCCTACAAAATATGTGATACTAGTACACTTTCCTAAAAAATCATTGGAAATACCTTTCAATATTGAAATAATATTTTTCAGTGTTATGTTTCATTTAAAGACCAGTGACCTTCAGTAGATACAAGATTAATAGATTTAGTCACTGGTTATAAAAACAAAATATTATACTTTCCTATCTCAAGTGGAATATAAACGGTTGACTATTCTGTAATAGCGATCAATATTATTTTAATCTACTTTAGTACAATTTAATGAGGATAATTCCATTAATCCTGAAGACTTCAGAAATGAAAAAGATAGAGGAAGAACAAACCAATTAAAATAATAAGAAAAGTTAAATAAAATATGTGTTCTTACCACTTCACAAGTTGGTACAACAAGGTTTCCACAGTTACATTCTAAAAGGCAAAAATTAACATATTTACATTGATCAAAATACATTCTTTTATTGCAATAAAATGTGAAAATAGTTAAAATATGAAATTAGTTACCACAACGCCATGTTGGACAACATTGACCAGATACATTTTTCTTCACAAGATTCATATCGTCTGCACAGTTGAGCAATGGTATAGGGCATAGATTTGGTTCACACACTAAAATGAGAAATCACACGGGTGAAGATAAATTGGATGTAATTGGCATATCTCATTACCAGCATTTAATTTGTGGCCATTTCTGAGGCAATAGATGGACTCTCGGCTCCCCAAGGATGCTTCTCCCACTACAAAATTGCCACATGTTTGTGAGGATAGAACAAATGACTCATAACTCTTAAAATAGTCCAACAATCATAGTAATGCTAGGAAAGCTCATCAAGTAAAGAGACCTGAAAAAGGGTCTGATACAACAGTGCACTGAGCTTCTCAAACAGCTAAATATTTTGGTCACTTTGGACACATCTAAATATTTTAAGTTAGTTAAAATACGCTTACCACAGTAATACTGAGGACAACAGAAATGTGTGGTATTAAGATCCACTGTGAGAAATTCCCCATCCATACATAGTGGAATAGGTTCAGTACAAGATTCACAAACTAAGGTGAAACAAAAAGACAAAAGTCACACTGAACCAAAAGCAAATCACTTACTAGCTCAGATTACCATACATAAATCAAATAAAAACAAAAACTATTATGTTTCATAAAATTGGAAACAGAAAATAAGGCATATTTAGTCATAAAACAATAATGGTGCCTGAATATGTTGCTTTATCCACCGTGACCTTTACAATAACATCTAAGCAAAAATATAGAGCATTTAGATTTCTAGAATAATTTGTTCTTACTAAGATCAAAGAATCACTGATTAATTTATTAAAGCTTCCTTAACTGACTACTCTTGATTATTCCAATTTATGGATAAACAATGTTGTAGGTACTTCTTTTGAGGCATTCAGCATCTCTCTAAACTTTCATAATTCTCTGCATAATCTTGAAAAATGCTCCAACCACAATGAAGCCACTGTCAATAAAGCTACCTCAACAGGCCACGATGTAAGAACAACCTACATTAGACTAATCAGAATCCTTTTCACTCTAATTTGAATCATAAATAGAGGGACATGGGGCCAAGAAACAGATGGAACTGGCTCGGTTATTAATGACTTTCATCTACAGCAGCTGGCTTCTCTTCTCTGAGTTTGGCTGTTGAGGTTAATTTTGAAGCTGTGAATAGCCACTACTTCATTCAATAATGAATTTTGCTTTCTTTAGCCAGAATCCATCAGCTTTTGCCACTTTCAGTTGAAGAATCTTAACTGATTGAAAGAGATGTATTCTGATTTTCACAGGTACATCTGAAACCTATGTTAACCACCAAACATTGATATGATTATTCATTAGAGTTGGAAAATAGAGAACTCTTTATTTTTCAATGCGCAGTTCATCAGATAAGATATTTAGTTCTAGTCATTTCCCAGATGCTCTCTCTTCGAAGATCATCATAGCTCATACAGGATACACACAAGATGAAGTTTTTAGGACATCCTATAATTTCTTAGCATAGTCCATTCCTCTAGTTTATTCTTTAAAAAATGCCCATGGTAAGTCCCCACCTGCCAAAAAAACACTATATATTTGCTTTAATAAAGAAAGCAAACTTGATTTTATTATCATGATCATGTTCAGAGAGAGAGAGATCGGTAGATAGAAGATGGAGGAAGGTGGAAGATACTTGCAATAATTGTCAAGAGTCATTTTAAATGGTGTACTTTCTCTTCTGCAGTTCTTTCTCAGTTTAACTCCCATAAAGTGTCATCAGGATAGTGATTAACATCAATTCCATGGAATTCACAACACATAAGAGACCTGCACTACATTGTCTCTCTTCTTCATTGAAAGTTCCTCTAGAATACTCACCACAGAAAGGAGAAAAACAGCAAGGTTCTTCTTGTTGAATCTGAATCATGAATTGGTCTCCTCTGCATCCTGATGTTGAAATATTGGGGCATTTGAGCAGGTCACATTCTGCAGAAACAAGTTTACTTGAAAATCGGTCAGAGTGAGAAAATAAAATCAAAACAGTTGAAATAATATTGGCTTAATTCCCTAAATTTAGTGATAATTAACTTAAAGATCTTCATGTTAGTGGAATATATAGAAAAAATAACTGTACCATCTTTTAAATATAAATAATTTCTTTGAAGAACCAGAGAAAGATAATCTAATCTACTAGTCTAAATGAACAATGAACCTCACTCACTTTTCCTAACTGATTAACTCACCACATTTGTATTGTGGACAGCAAGAAAGAGGGCTATAACCAACAGTCAATTTTTGACTATTTGTACATGCTGGGATGGTAGTTTCACACAAAGTCATGTCACATCCTAGAAATAAAAAACAGAAAATTAAAATATTAGTGAACATAACTGAAATATTGTGCTGCTAATTCAAAACAGAGAAATAGCTCACACTGAACATGTTGTACTCCACAATTAAATCCATCTAGCTCACAAAATACACTAAATGTGAAAAGATTGTAACTTTAAGGTTTTTCTGGTATTCTCTTTCACCCCAACTGACAGGAGTCAAAGAGTTCCAGACCTTTCCTTTTGTCATATATTGTTGAATATTATAAATTGCTAATAGCAAGAGGATCTTACGTGCATTTGAATAATTTGCTTTGAGGAAATGACATTTATGGACATGACATCAACTCTTACATGTTCTTTAAACCAAATATCATACATGCTCTCCTTTTTCACAAAAAATATCAACATATTTTATAACATTAACAGAGTCAAAGGCCTCAGCCTATGTACTCACCACAAACTTCCTTTGCACAACAGCTCAGCTTATCGATGATTCCCATGACAACTTCAGCTTCTCGTTCACAAATAGGTGAGGGCTCATCTTCACAGTCTGGTTCTATAGGAATAATGCTTCCATTCTCCAAACATTTGTACAGGGTGCATTCATCAATGCCCCCATTCCAAATCTCCCCAGCAGTGTGGGGTTGATCTTCACTATCAGTGCATGCTTTAAAAAATCAACAATGCTATATCACTCATAATCTGGGCACTAACATAAATCAAGCTGTGATGCTGTGATACCGGACCATGACTTGATCCAGTTTCATGGAGAACATGTGTTAAAATAAAATGGTTTGAAAAAGTTAAGTGTTTTTCCCCAGGTGATAATACTAGCTACCATTTTTGAGTGCATCTGTAAAGGCACTGTGTTAAATGCAAAATATATTTTATCATTTTATGTATCTCCACACTACTTTATAGATTGATAGATACTATCACTCCTCCCATTTCACAGTTGCACAACCTAAGGCTCATAGAGGTAAAAGTGAACCATTGAATGGTTCATGAATGACTGGAATTTAAATTCTCTCTACACTTTTAATTCTTGATTTTTCATGTCCATTCTTAGTTACAATATACATACATAAGGACTTAAACAAATCATCACCAGAGCTGCTAGTTTTGCTCACTCCAACTGGGATTATGTTAAAAAGACTAAATTACAAAATGACTTTCTTTCCAATAACTAGGTTTGGCCAATCTTTCTCAGTATATCTTTTGAATATCTGAAAAGCGTTTGTTTGTTGTATCACAAGAAATCAGTTGGCACTTCCCTTTCTTACCACATTCTCTCTCTGGAATGCACTGGGTTTTATCTGCCCGGTGAAGAATAGTTCCATTTTTGCACACACAGTCTTCTCTTAAATTCAAACATAGAGTATGTCCATAAAACCATTTGTTCACGCATGTTCTCGCTTCACAAGGGCGCACACAGGGTTGATATTCCTTCCCCTCAGGACAACTCAGAGCTGAGAATGAGAGAGGACAGAATTCACTAAGGACAACAATAATCCATTTGAATTCTGATAAAATAAAAAGATTCCAGCTTTCTAAAAATAAACTTTGCATATTTTAGTCCCTTCAAAGTGCACTTTCACTTCCTATATAACCATTGATCAGAAGCAAAATCATTAATGGGTACTTTTTAGCTTCTTTCAAGTGTCTAGCTAGTATTAGGTGCTATGGTTGAAAAAATATATGTCAAACAAATATGACCATCAGGCAGTCTATGTCTGGCTGTGTAAATATAGAATCTGCTCTTACAAAGTTACTGCTCTGTGCAGGGAAAGGAAATATATCCTAACTCAAAATAAATGTGAAAATGCACTTTAAATAAGTAACTCAACCGAGACATGAACAAGAAAAATGCTGTATGTTTAGAATCAATCTTTTACCGCCACCAGAAATGTATTGCTGAGCAGTTTCTAAGTGACGTTTTAGAAAATTCCTGTTGATTTTCATTGATCTTTAAAAAGTCATACTGTTAAAAATGAATATTCAGCCCATGGGGAGTATAAGTTGGTACAATCTCAGTGGAGGCAATTTGATAGTGCCTAGTGAAATTGAGGATGGCATACATTCCAGATGAATCAGCAGTGCTGCTCTTGAATAATTATTAACTCTGGAGAATGAAGGATGGGGGGACAGGAATAGGAGAAGGCCACATAGGAGCTTTATGTGTAACTTTTCTTTCTGAAGTTAAGTGATGTAACCTGTGTTTGTGATACATTATTTTTCTACACATTTTATTCTTAATAAAGTATTATGTGATAAAAATAAAAAGAAGAAAAAGTAAATTTAATGATTAAAAAGTAGTATTCAGTTAATAGTTACTTACAGCAGTAATCAGGAGTTCTCCAGTGAATACAGATGTCAAACTTGTTGCACAGGGCAACGTATGCAGAAAGTGCATCACATTCATACTTCCAGAAATAGGTATAATTGATCCACATCTTTTCACAAAAGTCCTTTGGTGAAACCTAGAGATGCATTTTTCCTCAGAATAAGTTGTGTTGTTTTATTTATTTATTTTTTTTTTTTTGAGACTGGGTCTCATTACGTAGTTCAAGCTGCCCTCGAACACACAATGTATGTAGTTCAGGCTGACCTCAAACTCAAGGTGACCCTCCTGCCTCTCTCTCCCTCTCTCCCTGGAACTACAAGCATGTGCCACAATATCTGGATGGTATTTTAATTTTTTAAAGACCCTAAGCTACGATATTTGGAGAATCAAAGGGCAGCAAGTTAATATTCATTATAGTTCCTCTTAGACCTTTGATTTTTAAAAATCCATACACTATATATCTTCTATAAAGTTATAATACATTTCAATGCATTTTAAATAAGACAACTATTATCTGTATTAACTATGTCTCTTTAAGTAAAGATAGAAATGAAGCAGAGTATGGTAGGAAGAAATCATGTCTGATATTATGATCTGGGTTACAATTGTCCCTTCTATATAATGAGTAAGAGTTCAATATATTATATATAATATTGGAAGCTTCCAAAGCATTCTCTAATGGTACACTATCACCCACTAAATCAATTTATAAATGCTTCTCAGAAATTATGCTCATGTTGCATGTTAGTCACATAAGTTATATAATTTGGCATACTTCAATTTAGAGACACATTTTTTTCCTACCAACTATGCCCCATGTTGATCTAGAGACAACCTGAAATTGAAATAATTTAATTTATAACTTAACATCTACTCCAACTTGTCTCTCCCCTCATTCACTGTATAATCATGTACATAGAGATGTAAAATTCTGCACTTTCCTCCAAGTCCAACTGTTTCTCTAAGGGCCTACACTGTACCCATCTGTAAGAAGGGAAGGGAAGTCTACTTATATGACAGGTGGCTTCTTAAAGTCTGCCTCACATGATGTGTGTGTGCAAGAATATGTCACTTTTCTGTTCCTGATCATGCCTTCTCCCAACTCGCCCTGGATGTCAATCATACCATTTCCAGTCCCTGTATGGCTCTAAGTGTATCTTCCGTGGCTTGGCTGAGTGGCTGACACAGATATCCTCTAACACCCATTTCTCTAAGACATGACAGCACAGGTTTTGAAACAGTTTTCTGGAGAGTGTTGTTTTGACCTACCTTCAAGGTCACAGCTAGATGTCTTTTATTTAGTTCACCTTCTTAGGCAGCCAGTTAAATCTGCATGCTTGTCTTTTCCCTATGTGGAAAAAGTATATTTTCCCCCCTAACTAAAAACACAGGTAGTACTTTCTCTAATTACACTAGGTTTTATCTATGTAGCAGATCAAATTATTAAAATATATTAGATAATTAGAAATTTGTGCTAATGTTCAAGTCTTCATATATGTCTAAATTTCAGCTTTTCTTTCTTTTGCCATCAAATTCACAAGGAAAATCCAAAGATAAAAAGCTGATACTATCACGAACTAAATAGTACCCTGTGTTGCCTCTCTGTGCTTCGCATAGTCGAGGTGAAAAGTTTCCTGATTGAGTCAAGCTTCCAAGTTCCAGTTAAATATCCAATTTTCAGAATTTGTTCTACTTTACAAGTTGGTTAAAATGACAACAAAATGCATTAAAATTTTCCTGTGCATGGATTTTAAGACTATTTTAATAGTTAAAAGTTATTTTCACCCAAGTCTCAAAATAAACTGAACTTCCAGAAAGATATGATGGCATGATGGCATTTTTTCCTCATGACTTAAAACTCTTCATCTTTTCCCTCAGGGAACATACAGGGCAGGCTGACAATGGAGGCCACACTTCTGCAGCTAGCACAGGTGATCCACAGAGAGCCCCTCTGTGACTTGAGAACACCCTCACTCTCCTTTCTATCCTCTTCCCTCCCCCATACACACACATATGTTGCAAAAAACTGCTTCAATATTTTCTTTGCATGGCCTTTTACACAAAGTATTCCCTTGCAAGCATTTTTTTCTCTGTTTATGGCTTCCTTCCTCACCCTTCTCTCTTGGAAAACTCATTCCTCTTCTAAAACAGTTCAACCCAAAGTCTTGTTGAACTTTTTTCCAAAGCTGGGCTCTTACGCACTTCCATGATATATACTACAATGTATCTGTTTACTGATTTTCTTACCTCTAGATTCCTTCAAGTCAAGGGGAAGGTCTTGTTCCTATGTCACAGAAGGCTAACAGAGTGTGTCTTATGCACTCAATATTCACTAAGCTTTTGTTAAATGATTCAAGATATTCTCTTTGCCCTTTGCCTCTAACACTGGATCATTTTTAAATGACATGTACTATTTAATATATGTACTAATCATTTGAACTGCAAAAGTTAAGAAGTAATAAAAATCAGTGAAGCTGAATACGTGACAGATGCTTTCTTAAGTTTACACCCAAGAAGCCAGGATCATAAAGAGCTGATGGAGACTTCACAGTTTTGGTTTCTATACTGGGTTATCGTGTACCTTCGATCCCTTTCTCCTGGAGGCATTTATTCATAGAAAAGAAGTGAATTTTTGAAGGCTATAGATATGGTTCTAACCAAACGTAGGAGGGAAAAAAAGATAATTATCCTTCCTGTCTCTAAAAAAAATCTATAAACAGTAAGCAATTGAGACCTCTGAAACATACTAACAGAAGGTTTGTAGATAAACTATTTTGGGCAGAAAAACATCATAGCAAGAACAAGAATTTATTGGCTTTTATTCTCAACATGTCTAACATGACATTTCTTATTTATGGCTACTTTTGACTTACTTTATCATGACATGGAATGAAAGCTTCTTTATTTAATAACTCAATACAGTGACTGCAATCATGCTCAGTACAATTCCTAACAGGCCTTCTCATTGTTACTTCAAAAGTTTTCTCAATTTCCCAGCTCTCAATAAATAATCCTATATCTTCCATATTCATAATAATTGTGCCATTTTGCATCCTTAGGTCATCATCAGGATCTTCGTTGCAAATTCCTTGAAAGAATATGAGGCATTTAGAAGGAAAATTTTTTCATTTAAACCAAATATAAGCAGCACAACTTTATCAGTTTAATCATTATTAGAGAATTATTTACTGAATGAAGTACCAAATTTATGAATCTTTTTAGTGCTGAATTTTTAAAACTGTGTCTGATTTTTTATAAAATAGTGTAGAATTGCCTTAGCCAGTTAAGAAAGAAATAAAAAAGCAAGCATAAAGATAAATGATGAGATCATAGAAAATTAAAAAGGAGGAGATTAATTCTGCTCCCACACTCTTCTGTTATTACCACCATCTCTCTTAATCAAGAACTAATTTTTTAAGCCTGGTGAGGTATTTCCCAGAACAGCAGGCACTGAGTAATAGACTCCCAGCTCCCATTCCCCCAACACCCAAGAAGCTTTGTCTGAAAACATTAAAGTTTCCATTTTTGGAACTATCCCTGCCCCATCATCACCTAGTACATGACAGCATTCCTGGTGAGAGCCTGATTGGCATAAAGTTAATTCCTACTCTCTTGTATTTAGCAACTGAGGCAGGTAATCCAGCCTTAAACTGAACATCTCACAGTAGTTACCTAGACACAAGTATGCCTTCAACCTTAGCACAACCTCTGTCAAGCTCAGGGCTCGACCTAGAAATTCTAGGACACAGACCATCTCGTTTAGTTGGAGTGACATGGCTTCTTGATGGCTGTGATGATCTGCTACAGACTCTAGCTTCCTTGAAGAAGGCCAGACTGAGGTGAGCTTACTCTCCATCTACATCCGGTGAAGTGTAGAAGCAAGAGAAGCACAAAGAAATGGATCCAGAACCCTGATCATACTTTGCCTGAATCCCACCTTTTATTAACACATAATTTAATTTCCAAGATTTAGGCTATAAAGTACATGTACTAAACATTTTCTTCAAGCATCAAATATTAATCCTCAAGCAGTTATATCAGGATGAATAAAGGCTGCTACTACAGATGACTCAGCCCTCTAAATACACAAGATGTTGAGAATAATTTTTTTAATTTAAGTTAACTGTACAGAAAATAAACTACTATTTTTTTAAAGTCTAAACTTTTGTGCACAAAAGTAATTTTTTCTGCTAAAAATATATTTTCACTGGAACTCTAGCCAACACCCCAGCAGGCTTCCGTGTTATGTAAAATAAGATATCAACAAAGGCTTCCCACTCCAGTGTCCGTGTTCATTTTGGGTCAACTTCTGTGCACTAGAACTTTTTCAACCAGCACCCACCCAAATAGTCCTGACAGAACTCAGATGTTCCTTTAAATAATCGTCTTTCTCCTACTGGTCATAGAGTTTAGGCAGTGACCTTTGGTTAGCCAAAAGGTAATCACAGTTAAAAATTCAGCTGGCAGAATATTTGTCTCCTTAAAAGCAGATGCTATAGGTGGGGCGGAAACCACAAATATCAAACAGAAGTCAAATCACTCAAAAGTGATAAATCATAGAAAAAAATATACTCCCAAAGCCTAAGTCATTACCCAATATAACTATTTAATTGCATACTCAATAACAATTATTTTCACAGTGATAAATTTAAGCAACCATTGAAGTTTGTGCAATGTTTATTATACTCTAAATAGGCAAAGAAACATGCACATCATTTTAACAAAGCTTTGCACTAAATATTTATGTTTTAAGAAAAGAAATGTGAATATTTCATATACTTGCCGAGAACAAAGTCAGTCATCTTCATTTGGAGTTTCCAGTATCAAGCATAATGTCAGATCAGAAAGTAATGCATAAACTTTTATTCAATATTTAGTGAGGTTTAAATAGTTATACTTTTTACTAAACTAATATTTCTTGACTGTATTTATTAAGTAATGTATTCTTACAAATTTTAATTAACATATAATAACGTTTATGAGATTCAATATAGTGTTCCTATATCTACAAGTATATCCATTGTGTAATGATCTTGAAAGCAAATATTAATGCCTCAAAAAAGTGAGGAAACTGATATTTAAGACCACAGAACTGAGAATGTCACAGACAGTTAAATATAGTTTATGTTCAACTTTTCAGAAGACACTGGAGCAATTATTTTAAAATTTTTGTTGTTACCTACAAATATTTCTAGTTTGTTTCCTTTCACTTATAACTCCTTATACATCTATGCAATATATTGCAATATTAAACCTGAATATAAAGTTATATATAAGCTGTATACTTTATGACAAAATGGGAACAGTTACTCAGAAAATTGCATTTTGAGATGCTTTTGAAATGACTTAAAATTTCCCTTAGTCTATAAATAAACAAAATTATTTAAGTTTTCATCATCATTGATACTTCATTAATGATTCAAAAGACAAGCTAGCAGAATTAAAGAGCTAGTAGAAATAGACCATGGTAGTAATAGTGCTAAGCACACATTTCCATAAAATATCTAAATTAAATTATTTCTTGTTTCTTAGTTTTTTAATTAAAAGCTATTGATTTCTTCAGTATTTACATGGTGAACAGAAAGTTGATATCACATTTCAAATCTGAAAAGTGGCCCAGTGAGGCACAAAACAATGTGTAAGCAGGAGAAAAATATTAGAAGAAAATAGAGATTTGAAGATCAGCAGTCAACACGAAGCCCTTTTGTGGAGGATGACAAATTAAATCCAAAAAGATCCCAAACAATTTGTAAGCAGAGAAGAAAATGTTAGAAGAAACAGAGATTTGAAGATCAGCACTCACCACAAAGTCCTTCTGTGTAGGATGACAAATTAAATCGGAAGCTAAAGTGAATGTCTATGATTCCTGTAAGATGAGCCCATTTTATGATTAATCCAGCTGGAGTAGTAATTACATACATTGTACCCGAATCCTCTACGGACAGTTCTTCACTTGAAAAAGGCAAAGGCACAATGATAGAATCAACTTCTGCCTAGAATAATATAAATAAAGCAGTTAGGAAACTGTTTAATAAGGACTTATTAAAATTAGGAGACTACAGGTCCTACTTCTTCTGATTTAATATAAAGTTTAATTTTTTCTTTTGTTTCTACAGCTTCTCATAACTTTTAAGCTTTTTACTATTCTTTTGTTGTACCTTGCTATATTCAATATTCTCACCTTATTGCATTTTTTTTCTCAAAACTTAACTTCTATGTTATTTAGGCTTTTGTATCTGATTCCCTTAATATGTGATAATTTCCCATGAAACCTTAATGTGAATTTAAGATAATGAAGTTATTTTCAGGATATTTTCTTTCTTAAACCTTCTAAATCAATGTTTGCTTAACTATAATAATGATCATAATAATCATCTGTCAAACTTGGTAAAGATTAACATTCCCAGCAATTCTACTTTCTGGTTTGGATTGGATTCTCGATTGTATTTTTATTATGTACATTTGGCAATATTAATGTAGGGAGTCCAAGGAGTATGCTTGGAAAAACTGCTTTAAGTAATGGCCATGAATGGAGCCTTGAAATGTAACAGCTGTAAATTTTTTGAAGTGACATCTCACCAACTATCCAATTCTTCACCTTTGTATCTTGCTTATACTGGCTGCCCTAAGCTGAAACGTTATTTCTCCTCCTCTCTCCTCTGTTTACTCATTCTTTATGATCTACTTTAGTTTTAACTTCTCAAAAAAGACCTGTTTGACCTCTCTATAATTATTGACTTTTCCCTCTGTTTTTATGATACTTTGTTCATAATTCTATTGTTGTGCCTTCTTACTTTATCCATACCCCATGCTAGTAGAGTTCCTTGAAATCAGAGCCTATTTTTAATCATGTAAATTCTCATTAAATATTTTTAACTAATTATTAATTGAATATGTGATCAGTGATTGGCTAGGTATGAATTCATCTTCATACAAAAATGATTCCTTCTGCCCCAGTGCTCAAAATAATATCATTTATTTCCCATATACTTTCTGTTAATACATCAACTTCATCAAAATCAAAGATATATTCAAAGGGTGTCATCCAAAACAAGTATCTCATTCATATATTTTTAGGTTTTATTTAAAACTTTCTAGTATATTATTCTAACTTAGGATCTAAGTCTAGAATCTGTGGACCTGAGCTAACATAATTCTTTCCAGAAAGCATATAGCATCTCAGCCAATTTAAGCTAAATATTTACACATTTTTTTCTTATACTTTAGAGAAAGTCATTTAGATCTGTTTGAAGCATCCAATTCACATCTCAGTCCTATTTGGTAAACATGTATTCCCTGAGGATAAGGATTTTCCTGTAAAACCAAAAGGCTCCTTTCAAACTTGTTTAAATAATGCACTGCTTTTCTTCAGTTTATTACAACTGACTTAAAAATTTCTTCTTTTTTTCTTAGTTTAGCCATCACTTATTCACCATGAAATTAATGATATCAGCACTTCAAAACCAGGCCTTCCATCTGTCCTCTTAGTGGTCTTCATTCTGGTATTCTTGGGTGTAGCTCGTTTTAACACTGTGATCTGTCCTCTCCATAGCATTTACACTTTCACTGGAACACAAACATTAACTCTGGTATGAAAAAGCTTGGCCACTCACTTCATCTGAGAGGACATTAACATGTTTGACAAGGCCTTTACAGTTCATCTTACAGGGGAGACATATTTGCAACCATTGACACACAAGCGGATAAAGAAACATAACATTAAGAAACACATTTTTATACTTTCCATGAAAAGAATGATTAGCCATGGAGTAATGAAACTACACTGGTATGATTAATTTTCCCTATTTTAGAAAATAATTGTTCTATGTAATTGCTTGTTTCCATCTTATATGAAGATAATTTTTAATTTTGTGTTCTTACCTTTCTTGCTAATCTATTGATGAGTATTTTATGTATAGATGTTGTCACACTGAGCTTCTTAGAACAAAGTCCAGTGATCCTTCCAGAGGAAGCCTGAACATAAAAAAAGTTAAAACTTCATGGAGTTAAATAAATTATGTGGTAAACAGAATGAATTTATTAAATAATTTGCAAATACTCACTAGCTTTTTAAATGAGTTTCCATTCTGGAAAAATGTATAAAAAACACTTTTAAAAGAAGTACATTTCTTGAATTTTAAAAATATCATTTGGATTAATATTATTTGCTTCTAAATATATTTACATTAAGCCATTTTGGTTTAAATATCAAATCAAGGGGCTGGGGATTTAGCTCAGTGGTTCTGCTGCCTGCCTCGCAAGTGCAAGGACCCGAGTTCGATCCCCGGTACCAATAAATAAATAAATAAATAAATAAATAAATATCAACTCATTCTCAGAAAGTTTTGAGCACCTCTTTACATGTAGTCTGAGAATCCCTGATGTTATAATATACATCAACTATAGATTTATGCAGAAACAGTCACAAAAACAGATTATGACCTACCTGATTCATGGAACATTTTTCAATATGAACAACTATAATTTCCCCAGGAATTCTTACTAATATATAAGATGCCATACTATATAATGCGGCATTGTTTCCATCAAATGTAATAATGCTGAGTTCTGACAACATGGAACACCGACCTAAGAGAGAATGGTGGAGAGCACATTTAGTCCATTAATGAACTACTGATGTTTTTAGTAATAACTGGTCTTTTTAAAAGGATCTTTTATATTAACCTTATATTCAACAAGAAGGAGCTAAAAAGGTCATGCACTATGAACCAAAGTCTTAAATCAAATGAAGAAAGCTAAAAAACAAAGCAATAACTAAGGCATAAATGAAGTGAAGCTTCAAAACAATAATAAGCTCTCTGATTTAAAAATTAGTGGTTGATGGGAGGGCAGGGGAATGGGGAAAAAATAAGAACCAAGACATATCATGTACAGGTACAAAGTCCCAATGATGAATGTCATCATATTGTATACATAAAATGCATCAATAAATTTAATGAATTAAAAATTAGTCACTACGCAAGAAGAGCAAACTTACAAGGACATTCCCACTCAGGGCAGCAGATGTCAGTGTTCACTTGAACAGGCCTTCCCCGGAAACCACAATCAGGCATTTCCAAGACCTTTGGGCAATTGAGAGACCAGTTGTACAACGTCCATTCCATATTGAGGCATATATATTGGCTACAGTTATAAACAGGATCAAATTGCTGAGGCTGTTAATAAAAGAGGACAATTAGTAAGTTCTTCCCCATTTTCAACTACTGTTTTCTATTTTATTTAGATTTCACATTCACCTCATCTATAATTTATATTTTCTGAAAAGCAAAAGTTTTGAAAGACAAAGAATTAAAATTTTACAACTTTTTGTGAAGTTAACTTGTCTAAAATATTCAATAGATACTTAAGCATTACCCTGATACTGATTTGACATCAGAATTACTCATATATTCAGACATCTGAACAAAATAAAATTTTTTCTCAGTTTTCCAGATTAGAATTTTTGTCAGCAGAACTATACAGTGGCAGCTAACCTTTTCTAATAGGTTGTGTAAGCTGCCATACAAATATAACTTGTCAATGTCAGTTGTCAAATGACAACTTAATACTCTCCAAACAGTTCATTAAAAATTCGCACATGACATCAGTTTGACAGTACCTGCACAGTATTATTATAAATTATTTTTATATATAGTTCAATACTTCTACATAAACAAATTCTAAATAAATAAATATTTGATTTTTTTTTAGTTTATGAATCACATTGTATTTAAAGTATGGTAATAATGATAGCAGTAATGAGCCAGACATTGCTCTAATTAACCCATTTCATTCCCCCAAATCCCTCTAAAGTAGGTGCTATAATTTTTCCTGTTTTGCAGATGAGGAAACCAAAATGAAGATTAAAATAACTTGCTCAAGGTTTCACAGATAGCACGTAGTAGATCAGAATTTAATTTCGTCCACTGTTATTCAGAAATCTGTGCTCATGGCCACTATTCTAGACTGTATCACAGGGAATAAGAAAAAAAAATTAGCTACTATTTAGCACCTATTATATATTATATGTTAAAATATCATTTCATTTGCTTTTCCCTAAATATTTTTGGTGAGTTTCTATCATTCCAATACCTCAAATGTTTTTTCTTTAAAAAAAAAAAAAGCTAAGATAAGAGGAGTTAACTTATTTTCTAAATAATGAGAACCATTAAGTGAGGATTTCTGAATTTAAGAACCAAAGAAAGGCCTATATTTCCCAGACTTTTTTGTGTAACCAGTTTTACCAACTTAAGCATTGAGCCTGCTAACCATTTAACCAGGATATAAAAGCAATTAGAAGAGAGAATTAGAAGAGAACTCTCACATCTAAATCACCTAAAAGATTTTACATCTTCTAGTTTACTGGAACAATTGTTTATGCTTTTCTTTTTACTGCTATGTGTGTGACACATAACAATGATGTTCATCTTGGGGAATTGATACATACACGGAAAACTTCTTAGTTATTTTCACTTAATGAAACTAAGACACCAAGAAACTCAATCCAATGACCAATTCTCAAACTCATTGTACTGGACCTATGAACATATTTAGCATAGCTTAGTACTCCATCTTCCTCAAAATGTTTTTTCCCTTGGATTCCAGATCACCTACAGCCTGCTATATTTTCTCCTCTACCACTTGTCAATATCTTTCAAATGTTTCTCATTTTCTCCCAAGCTGTTAAACGTCTCTTCTCTATCTTCATTCACACCCTGTCTCTTTAAGATCTCATTCAGGCCCATAACTTTAAATACCATTACTACAGAGAATTTCCACAATTTTATCTTAGCATAAGCTTTTTCATGTACTGCACATGTCCTCTGGATCTGTATATCCACAGCTCTGTGGTGTCTAAGAGGTTATTTCTTACTTCACCTGGCAAAAATTGAATGCAAGATTACAATCACCCCTGACCTTCACATCTCACAATTTCTCCATCCTGGTTCATGCCAATCCTTCAGTTGCTCAAAGCAAAGTGCTAAATCCTTGATGCCTCTCTTTCACTCACAGCCTACATGTAATCCTTCACCAAATTCTATAGCCCTACCTTCCAAACATATCAGGATCCAGGCACTTGTCATCAACTCTGCTGCTATCATCTGGACCAAGGCACCATCATATCTTGCGTAAAGTTTTATCACAGCCTCCTAACTGGCCCTATTCCCACCGTACACCCACCCTACTGGTAACACAGCAGCCAAAGTGATCCTGAGACAAATCAGATGATGTAGTTCTTTGGCTCAGAAACATAGAATCTCTTCCTGTATCACTGAGAATAACAGTCACAGTCTTTATAAGTGTCTACAAGGCCGTATACAGGTTGCTTTATTCCTTACTATTTTCTTCCTCCCTTACTTACTGGTCTCCTTGTTGTTGTCTTAATATATTAGATATGTTGTTGTCTCTAGACTTTTGCACTTGTTCATTGCTCTGTTTGAAATACTGTGGCCCTTGGCCTTTCTGCATTGTTCAGTCTCTCAACTTCTTCAGACCTTTTTCTCAAAGTCACCTTTTCCAAGAAGATTTTACACCCAACTTATTGAAAGTAGTTTTATTTTTCTCCTGAACAGTGAATTCTAAAATTTTTACACAATAAAGTAGTTTGTTGGCAATCTCAGAAATGCCTATATAATATAAATTTCATAAAGGCAGGAATTTTTACCTATTTTTATGTCTTATCCATTACACTTGACTAGTGCTTGGTCAGAAATGGTGGTAAATAAATATTGATTGAATAAATAATTAGTTCATCAGATGAGTGGTATATTTTAAGTAAGAAGTTGAGAGTGTATATTTGAAGTTGAGAAAACTACTACCTCTAGGGACTGATGACTTATCTTTTTTGATTACAAATAATTCAATATTTACTTGTACAGTGTCTGTCATATAGTAGTAGTTCAATAGATATTTTCTGAATACCTGATTTACAGAGAAGTTTGTTTTAGATAACTATTAAGGAATCATGCTTAAGATTTTACTTAAATTTTATTTTTCTTTATATGACCTGAAGCTAATTAATAAGAATTACCAAAGTCAGTTAAGAAAATAGTTGTTTAATGCATATTCTTATCTTTCAACAAAGATAGACTAGTAATCATACCGAAAGAAGTTTAAATATATTCGGATACTGATACAGAAACTTGAAAAGATGCTATAAGGAAATACCCAACACCTGAAAGAGATTACCCAGTCATACCTCACATTCCAAACCTGTCGTTGGTGTTATGTCAAACACAGTGACATCTGATGGAGTAATCATTTCTGGACCTATAAGAAATAAAGATGTGGTTCTCATTAATGGAATGGTATATATTATGTATAGAAATCATGTGTGACAGAAAATGTGGTAAGAAATTTTATATAGATAATTTCATTTATTCCTTGCATTAATCCTGTGAAGACAACAATAGTATTGTCACTTTACACATAAAGCATCTAAGTTATTAGGAAATGAGTTTTGCAAGTGGCAGAATTCTCACTCAAGAATTCTGCTTCCATGGCCCTGGCTTTTAATGACCTTTCCAAAAACACCTTCACTATAATGAAGGTAGCAAGACAATTGTCTGAACAGGTGCAAATGTCAAGAGTATTATGAAAGATCCCTTAGGAGTTACAAATTTTGTTGCATTTTCAAAACAAGTAGTGAAGTTGGTAAACCTCTAGCACATGTTCCTGCAAGCAGAACAGATGATGCTTTGGGCCATATGAGGACTGCAGTAAGTGCCTATGATGAAAGAACAACCCATAAAAAGGGAAGATATGATTGGTAAGTACATTTGAGGGCACCTTCTAATGCTTTTTATCAGTACTAGAGGGATTTCTACAGTCTTCAGTCTGAAGGACTATAGAAGAAACAAGATAAATGGCTGAAATTTTCCACAGCTGCAACTGTAGTGTCCACTATTGATAGTATTTAAAACACTGCTTCGGTTTCCTTTAGTTACTGTAGCAAACTGTCATCAATTTATCATCTTGCAATTCTGGGGACCAGAGCCCCAAAATCAAGATTCTAGGCAGATCTGTGTTTCTTCTGCCAGCTCTAAGGGAAAATGTTTTTCCTTGTCTCTTCCAGCTTCTATGGTCTGCCCAAATTCCTTGGCTCACGTTCCCTTCCTTCATCTTCAAAACTGCAATATAACATCTTCATCGCTCTCCCCATCTCCTTCCCCATCTGACTCTGTTGTCATTAATCCTCTATACTGTCATTGCTTTGGGCCCACAGGGATAGTTTCAGGGTAAGATCTCAAGATCCAGTTGGAAATCAATAATCATCTTCAAATCTGCAAAAGCTCTTTGCCACATCCGATTACATTCTAGAAACTAAGAAGTTGAAATTTTGGAAAGGGCATTTTCAGTCTACCACAATGAGATAACTTTCACTTTTTAGGTAAATAAATCCGACATATAATCCTCATTTTCATTCTTATTTTGTAGTTCTTACTTGCAGGATGAGTAAAGTACAACAAAAATCCCCATTCCTTAGTCCTAGGAGTAAAGTTCAGGGTATACTAAATGTGTCATCTAGAGATGCTGATATTTAATACAGACCTAAATATCTCTATTTCTTTTATCACAAACTTTGAGGCAAAGGAAGATGATATAATTTCTATACCAATAGAAGCCCAAAGTCACGGACAATTCTAGGGACATGAGGAGGACATTGGGGGTGTCAACAGAATCTTGAAAGGATTAAAACATTGGATGTTTAATTGTAATAGTCAAGGTGTCTTGGTAACTATAGCTTTGTGGTAAGTTTTGAAGTGCAAGTACCCTATTTTTCTGCTTCTTTTTCAAGATTCTTTTGACTATCCTAGTTTCCTTGTGTCTTCATATAGCTTTGGAGACAATTTTTCAATTTCTGCAAAAAAATACCTGTGATTTTGATGGGGATTATGTTGCCTCTGTAAATCTAATTTGAGAGTATTACTATCTTAACAGTATTAACTCTTTCAATCCACGAACACAAGACTTCATCTCCTTCATTTTGATCCATTTCATTCCTTCAATGTTTTGTAGCTTTCACTGTAACATTAAGTCTGTGTTTCAGCTTATACTTATTTTGCTAAATATATCACTATTTCATTCTCCCTAGATGCTACTGTAAATGGAATTGTTTTTTGCTATTTCATTTTCAAATTGTTCTTTGCTGTTATATAGAAACACAAAAGATATTTTTTCTGTACTGATCTTGAATTATGCAACTTTTATGAACTCATTTATTATTGTTAATTATTATTGTTTTGGCTAAATAGTTTTAGACATTTGAGATATACTGATTTTGAGGATATTAGAAAGATTAAATTAGGCAGCAATGCTTAGAAGAATTAATAGTCTATACCCTGAATGTTTGAATATGTACTCCTACTTCATAGACTTATTTCCTTCACAGATTAAATAATATAAGAAAAGTGTGTCTGGCCCTTCTGAACATGCTTATACAACTATAGAACAATTTCGCATTTTGACAAGGGCAATAACCTCTCTCAAAGGCTCTTATAAGGGTTAAATGAATACCAAGTACTTAATCCAATGCCTGGCACATAATAAGTATTCATAAGTGTTAGCTAATAAGAATAGGGTACTAATGATGGTTTTAGTGAGAATAAAACTTGGAAAACGTCACAAGACTCCTTCAAACCCTTTAATAATTCACTATCACCTTCAGAAAAAAGTCTACACTTTTTGCCATAGAACCTTTATATGGTCTCTGATGATTTCTTCCACCCTACCTTGGCACAGTTTTCTATATATTACATGTTCAAGATGTACTGACCTGCTTTAAGTTCCTTCATACAAAACATTCTCTCCCATTTTCAGTCTTTTTCCATACTATCCCTTCTCGCTTGAACACATTTCCTCCTCCTCTTCTACCCAACTCCTACCTTCTGCTACCCTTCTGAGACAACACCTCCAAAATAAATGCAGTGCCCCTCCTGTGTGCTCTTCCTATGTACCCTGATTATAACACAGTCACTTCTCAGTATCCAGTGAGGACAGATTCAAGACCCCACACATACCAAAATCTATGGATGCTCCAGTCCCTTATGTAAAATGAGACCTTTGCACATATAACCTTTGCACATCCTCCCATATACTTTAAATCACCTCTAGGTTACTTATAATACCTAATACATCATACATGTTACATAAATTGCTGTTGCACTATATTGTTTAAAGGAAATTATAAGGTTAAAAGTGTCTTAGCATAGATACAATGTTTTTCAAAAATATTTTCAGTCTGCAACGACTTGAATTCATAGATGTGGAACCCACAGATACAGAGGGCTTTACTGTCTTGCAATAGCCTGTGGACTCAGCCATTTTAGGATGAAGGCTGTGACCTGTCTACCACACCCATCCCCTAGTGAGTATATGGACAGTGCTTACCATAGGTAACACTCAATTAAATCTTGCCAAATATAAATATCTAAACTAGAACTTTTAAAAATCATAATCACAGGAGTAATACTAAGTTCAGCAAGCCTCATTGTGAGTGAGTTTATTAAACACATTCCTGAGGCAAATTGCATGTGAGAGAGGGAAATCAAAGTAGGAGGACAGGAATGCCTCCTCCAGAGCCTGGCCAAAACACAAAAATAGCAATGGAGTCCCCAGAAGAAATCTTGATTACATTAATATCTCACTAGAGCCAGTCCCATCACTGAAAATTTGAGTGGCATTTGGTAAAACCTAGTTCTGGACAAAAATGTAAGGAAAACCCTACACGTCCATATAAACTGAAACAGAGAAAGATGTGGGAAAATGTGGTATACTAAGACCATCAATAGCTCTTTAATGAAACAAAATAAGTGCCTGCTGGATTTTCTAACCATTGAATAGTCTAGTACTAGATGGTGGGATCAGTGTGCCAAGATGTAAATTATAGGATGCTAATTTTACTGTCTGAAACTGTAACAACACCTGAAAACGTGGGTACAGCTTACCTGGTGGGGTTAACGCTGGCTCTGTAGGACTTACAGTTATGCCTACAAAAAAATAAAGAATGCATTTCTGTAATTTAGTTCATATATGGCTTTTACCACTTGGAAAAGGCTTTAGAAAAGAAAAAACGAGGGATGTGAGAGGTAAGAGTTACATAATTTAGAAAGTAATTAAGAGCAATGACAAAACCTACATAAGAGATACTGAAGAAAATTCTGAGATTATTGTCCGTCTAAAATTTTTGTTTATAGCTACTTGTTTCACAGAAAAAAAATCTGTTTTTCACTTTTCAGAGTAAATTAACCAATATTCACACTTACAGTCTCCTGGATAAACACATTTAAAGGTGATCTCATCAAGGATCATATTTTTAGGGCAGTAGGGCAAGCATCCTTCAACCCTTTATGTGGAAAAAGAAATCAAATAAAAAAGTGTGAAATACAAAGAAACAAAAATAAAGAAATATTCACTGAATATATACAGCTATGATATATTCTTCCTAAAATTCTTGTATGCCCTGGTTAAGTACTAAGGAGCACTGCATTTACTACCACAACACTCCATCACACTTCAACTTATGAAATCACAGCCAGTGATTGATAAAGAGGTATCATTAACATTAAGGCAGAGTTGAACACAGAAAATTCAAAATACACATTTATGTTTGGGGCACATGAAATCTATAGCCTATAAATTGGTGGAAGTGGAGAGAAATAATTTTTTGAAATTTTTAATCTATATTAGTTGCATTGTCACTTTTTGCTTCTGTATTCCCCCATATCCAAGTGGGTTGACATGATCTTGATGATCCTTGCATTGAAGATGTAAGACAAAAATAGCATCTTCAGGGGCTTTCCTTGCTCTTTATTAAATCCTAATCTCCACGAAAAGAGTGGAGATCTCTAGGTGGAAGGGATAGAAGCAGGACATTGCTGCCCTTCTTTGAGAACAAAGAGGAAGAGGGGCAAAGGCCACAGTCTTTAAGAGTATTAAGGTGTAGCCCAATTTCTGGCAGTAGCCTGGAAGCAGTTGTGTGTACAGGAGTAGGGTGAAGCTCAATGTGGTTTCAAGTCCCAGGATGTTGGACCTTGGTAAGGATCCCCCTCCTTGTCTGTACAAAAGAAATTAAGTGAGGGTCTCAAATTTCAAAAGGCATGGGCTTGGGAATTGTGGACTAAAAACAGGAGAGACCACCAGGAATACTATTCTTCTAAAGGGCTGAAGTCAAATTAAAACTGAGATTACATTTTCCTCCTGTCCAAATGAAGCTTAGAATCCAATCCTGATTTAAAGAAAGTAAATGTAATCTTTCGTGTATAACCAAGTCTATTAGATTCATAGAGAATTAATATATAGCTATAAAAAAGCTTTCACTTTCTTATCTGCATCTCTAATACATTATCAGGTTCTAGCATATTTTAATATTTTAAAAATATTTCCAATTTCTTCATCTGTTAATAAAGACTTTAGATGAAAACGCTCAAAGCCTCTTTCTATTCAGAAGGCAAAGTAATTTGACACTAGGGGTCAGCCTCACCAGCAGAGGGCACTGTTCATGGAAGCAAATCCCGGCAACATTAACCAAGAAAAGCTCTGCTCTCTTACTGAATGAGATCTGGTAAGACCCACTTATCTCTTGGATACGTCCTTCACAATCAATTTTTAAAACATAAACATTTAACCTATCTGTTAAATTGCTTATTTCACAAAATTAACTTTTGAATAATTGTAACAGATATATAACCTTATTCTACTCTAAACTTTGTCAAGCAGAAAAAAGTAAAAATTAAAGTTACTAGATTGCTGAAAAGACCACAGCCAGTCAGGTATCATTAAATGAAGTCACCATCCATTTTTATGCAACTCAGTTATTTTTAAATTATTTGTGCCAGTGCAAACCACAGCCACCTTAAAATATTTTCCAAAAACCATTAATTCATTTCTTTAAAAGGCTAGTCACATATAACAGTTCCCTCTTTTTTTGTCATACAGCCAATAATCTACTCCACTTTTAACAGACAAATATAGTGTCTCATACAGAATTGTTCTTATAATAGGTGTATAATAAGAGTAACTGTATTTACATATGTGCTTTACGGTATGATACTTGGCATAAAACAAGCCCTCATTTTCACTAGATATTTTTATTTTCAGCACTTGCTTTGAGCGAGAACTGAAATCACGTAAAGCAAAGATGGTGAATCTGCTGGGTTCATAGAAGAGAGGCACAGGGCATGTGAAAGCCCCAACTCAGTGCCTGAGTCCCCACTCAGGGCCCTAAGTACAGTGAAATTACTGCAACCATGAGGCATCTCCTCACGGCAGAAGAAGACAGGGGATAGGACTGAGGGTAAAAAGGAGAACAGCTTCACTGGGGTGACGTTTCATGCTGAGTCTTCTGGGCATCCTAACCCTACCACAGCTACAGCCAAGAAACTGGAACCATCATAGAGTGGGGTACAGTCACCTCAAAGACTACTTGTGCCACAAAAAATAATAAGCTAACCAAATGCCACTTCAAAGTAAAGCTCCATTTTCTCCACATTGATGGCTGGATGCATTCCCACCTTCCCCTGTGCCCTTCCCAGCAACTGTCCTCACTATGGGGCCACTGTGGTATGGCCTCCTCTTGATGGCTACCAGAAGAGGCAGGAGATAGATCTGTGAATGGGAGCGGTCTAAGTAAATGATGAACACTTCTTTTTTTAAAAAAAAATGCTTTTTTATTTTTAAGAAAATGAACAGGAATACGTCCTTCCTTCTGTTCCTACAGCACTTACACAGCAAGGCACAGTGGTTCAAATCTTGGCTACCCTGCTGAGAAACTCTGGGCAATGGTGTAACTTCTCTGAGCCTCCCTTGGTTGATTTTCTCCTCAAAAATAAGAATAATTAGATTTTCCATTTGACAGCACTGAGCACAGTTTGTGTCACGGTGCAGCTAGTGTGCTCATTATGGCTACTTCTCTAATCATCATTCCTTTGTATTGTCATTATCTGCTTTTGTTTGTCTCCTTTCTAAAGAATGTGAGTTCCCACAGACTGGCTGGGTCCTATTCAGATGTCCAGGGCATTTTGTAATGGCAGTGTTTGCCATGGAGTAGACAGACTTAGGTCTCTAATGTAACATGACTCCTTTAAAAATATTTCCTCTTACTTTTGATCTGTTTTCCTGTTCTCTATAGTAAACTAACGCCTTTTTAAAAAGATAGGAAAAAGCTGTTGTCATTTTTCCTCTTCCTGCTCTCCAGGTAACTAAATCCAAAGAACAATTTCAATACTAAGTTTAATACTGTCAAAACCAAATTCCTCACTTTTCTTCCAAAATATTCCAACATTGCCCTTCTCGCTGTAAATGCCAGCACAGTCTTCTGTTAAATTAAATTATTCCAAATTGCTGATATTTTACCAGTTTTGATTAGAAAAGTGGCAACTGCACCCAATTAATGCTGAAGACAAACTTAAGTCCTTAATTCTTCATTCTCTCCTCACTCATTACATCCATCAGCACAGCCTCCGGCCCTAAGTGTAAAAGACATCAAGGACCTGATCATTTCCCACAACCTTCAAGGCTGTCAACCTCGTAGACTCCTTCTGTTGTCTATGTAACTGACCATTCTGCCCTTGTCCTACCCTTCCCCTACGGTCCATTTTCAATACAACAGCCAAAGTAAACTCTATAGTAGGTCTTGTCACTTTGTTCAAAGTACATCTGGGCTTCCTGTCTTACTCAAAGCAAAAGACAAGGTCCTTACAAAAGGTTACAAGCTCTTACCTGATGTACCCATCACTATGATTCTCTCATCTTATCTCCTACTTCTCTCAATTCATTTTCCTCCAACAAATAACCTGCTTGTTAATCCTCAAATACACCAAACACATTCGCTCCCCAGGACATCTGCACTGTTCTCAGGTCAAAAGATATCCCCAAATATTCACACAACTAGTTGCCTCACTTCTTTGAGGTCTCTGACTAGACATCACCTTGCCAGTGTGTTTTTCTCTGACCACCAATCTTAACTAGCACACACACACACACACACACACACACACGGAATTTCCCTATCTCTTTTATTTTAGTTTTCTCCATCACACATATTGCCATGTAACAATATGTTGCTTTATATATTTACATTTTTGTTTATATTCTGCTTCAACCCTGTGATGGTTAAGCTTATCAACTTGATTGGGTTGGAAGCTGCCTAAGGATTATTAAGGCACACTTTGGGATGTGCCTGTGTGGATCATGTAAGCATGACTTTGAGGCCCCTTCTTCTTTGGTGTTTTTCCTCTGTGCTCTGCTTCCCAGATACCATGAACTAGGTAAGCAACTTTGCTCTGTCACAATGTTTCTGCCTTGGAGCTACCATACCATGGACTGAATCTTCTGAAACCATAAGCTACATCTCTTCCTTTATGTTTAAAATAATACATTCCCCGGACATTCTACAGTTATTATAAAAACAGAAAGTGGGACGGGGAAGCTAGGTCAGCAAAGGTCATTTGGAAGCCTGTCTTCTTGTGTAGTGCTCTTGGGAAAAGGAGTCACTGACATGCCACTGAAACATCACATAGTGTGATAATTTACTGAAATTTACTTAAAGATGAACTTTACAAACCTCTATTTCTTCTCTATTCTAGAACTCTGTGCTATTAGAACCAGACCTAGCAGATGTTAATTATTGCATCCCAGCAATGGGAAAGTTGACCAATACAAACCCCAAAATGTGTAGTCTTCGGGAAGGGAAGTACCTTATTATGTTCATCATTGTATCTATAGCAGCAAGAAGAATACCTAACACATAATAGATCCTCAACAACTATGTGCTGATTAAAATAAAATAAATTCATGAATTCATGAACAGTACTACATACCAAACACAAATTTTTCTTGAGAATGGCTGCTTCAAATCTAACACAAAATTCACTGAAAACATAATCTGTTAATACTGGAGTTTGCTCATCTATTGATAAGCATTACTTACGGTGGAAGAAATGTACATGCTAGTGCTTCAGGGTCACTACATGTTTTAAAACAGGGAGTGGCACAAGGTTCATATTTCCATTCACACATTCTCCTGTAAGGCACTGCTGCCTGGATTTCTGGGGGAAAAAATGTTTAGATTTTGCACATCTTTAAGGTACAACTTGAAATCTAATAATTTAAGATATAAACATTTAGTTTTAGCCTCTCCTTGACCATGGTACTACGGAAAAATACAAAGCTATGGAATGAAAATATTGCAATTCTTTGGTGACTAAAACATTTCTTGATCAGGTTAAATATGTAAATGTAAATCTATCTTCCAAAGATTTTAAAAAGTAAGGGATTATAAGAGGATAAGGGAAATTTTACATCTTCTCTATGTTTAATAAGCAAGTTTTCACTAATTTTCATATTATAATAGTAACAAACACATGTTTGGAACTGTATTTTTTTTGCAATTTTTGTGTTTTTATCTATTGTTCTATGTTATCCTTCCTACAGTTCTATTGAGTATGTATTATTTCCAACCTAAAAATAAAGAAATTGAGAATTAAAGCAAGCAAATAACTTACCAACCTCAAACAACTAGAAAAATGGCAAGACCAAATATGTTTCAAAATTGCAAATCTAGAGAGAATGTTCCATGGTTGTTCTTTTGCAAAGGACTTGTACATTATAAGTATTGTTTGAATACAAAAGAATAAATGAATGGATTTGAATAATGCTTCCTTGCAACTATAAAATTTTTCCTAATTGAAGACTTTTCCCTTGCTAACTCTTCTAAAACTCTGATCTTCCCACATCACAGAGAAATCCTTCTATAGTAGTTCAAAATCATCTCTGATCAAGAGAACTCCATAAGGGAAAAATTTTTAGGACACAAGTGTGTTTCTTGGACTTTGGATCCAGAGTTCAATTCCAAAGTATGGTTAGGAAAATAAGACTTTTTGGAAATCATCAATTCATCTAAAGATTGGAGGAATTGCTACTCTTGAGTTATTAGGTTAATGGATGTTGAAAGAGAATTGGTTCCAAAAGTAGAATAGAGCCCTAGAATTTCTTGTTGAGAAGCAAAGATTGGTGTCTGAGATTCTATGGTGCCACCAATCCATTTTGAAATACAAGTCGGGCTACTAGGTCTGGAACTAATAGCACAGACTTCTACAGTAGAGAAGAAATAGAGGCTTGTAAAGTTCAACTTTATTCCAGTAAATTATCACACTATGTGATGTTACAGCGGCATGTCAGTGACTCCTTTTCCCAAGAGCACTACACAAGAAGACAGGCCTCCAGATGACCTTGGCCGACCTAGCTTTCCCCCTCCCACTTTCTGTTCTTATAATAAGTGTAGAATGTCCAGAGAATGTATTATCTTGAAATAAAGAAGGAACATTCTGGAACAGCCCAGGCTCTGCCTTCCTTCCTTCTAAAAGAGGATGTCCTGGACAATTTGTGCTCAACAATGCCAGTGGCATCTGTAGTAGAAAATCCATAGAGGAGTGCTCTCTGCTAAAGTGCAATATGGCACATGCACAGGCAAGACTCCATCTGCCCTGGGCAGATTTCCCAAGCTTTGGGGCATTGGCTCACCAGGGATTCTAGACTTCTGCTGATTCTTGCAAAGCTGCTCTGCCTGACTGGCTTATTATGTCTTATCAGATTAGACCTAAGTATACCAGTTTTAGAAGTATTAGGACTGCCTTCTTCCCCCACCCCCCTTTTTTTTTTTACCAGTTTTTGTGGAACTGTGTCAGCAGGGTTTTTGAAAAATTCCTGCATGACTTAGAGTGTCTGCAAACAGGGATTCTATTCAATAAGTAAACTTTTGCAGCTCAGTTCAGATTTTTTTAAATGCAACAACAAGAAAAGTTTACTGATAAGTATGCACAACAGAAAAGGCCAGTGGTTCGAGTTCTTAAACTGCTTTAGGAGTGTTAGTTAAGATAAAGCAATTCAGGAGACTGATGTCAGAAATCAAGTTCTTAGATTCTGGAAGTAGAGGATGACTTTTAAACATTGCATTAAAAAGTGAAGTTAGTTTTTTGAATCTCAGGAAATTCAGTAACTATAGAAATCAAAGTCTCTCTAGAAATAAGATCAGGCTTCTGCTGCTGAACTAGGGAAACTTTTCAGATATCAGTGAAACCAGAAAACCTTGAATTCAAAAACAGACAAATATATTATCTTTATCACTAAGAATCAGATTATTGATAAGTTGCCTTCTAGGAAAGAAAAAGTAGATACACTCCAAGTCATAGTTTGGTTCTTATTCCAAAGTTCAGACAGTCTTGGTGATAGTAATTGAGATAATAATTATAAACAAAATTATTTAGGGTTCTTTTAATCAATTGAAATCAACTTAATATCATAGGCAGAGTGAAATAGGTATTATTGCTCCTATTTTACAAATGAGTGAACCAAGGGGTAAAGGGGAAGAAACTTTCTAAAGATCATAAAGCTCTACCTGCTCATATACACTAAAAAACGTTTTAACACTAAAAATTGAAAAATATTTTCATAATATGTTACCTAATTGTTCTCTTTTAAGAGATCTCAGGAAACATACCTTCTATGTTGAAACTACTTGATTGTTTGAATTCCTCAGAATCATCATATTTTGATGCTTTGACACTAGAATCTGTGAATATGATGAAAAAGCCTTTCTTGCTGTATAGCTCAAATGCACTGTAACCAGAAATCCAGAGGCTCTGATGGTGGAAAAATGTAGCTCTCCGATGAAAGGCTGAATTTGCCTGCCACAGTTTCAAGCTAAGAGTGTCATTGTCGTGGACATACAGAAAGTAGTTTGGTCTTTCAGCAGATTCCAGAGAAACAAGTGCCAGTGCTATGAAACATAAAGCAGAATTTTGACAAGTCCTTGGAATCTCAGGAGAAGGCAGATCATCAACATTGGCATTATAAAATGCATTTATAAAGTTGAAAACAGTGCTTCACAATTGCTATCCATCATTAAAGTGAATCTCTGAGATTTCAGAAATGAATTATGAGACTTCTAAAAGGAAACATAGTAATTTAAAGGCAGCGGGTAGCAATATCTCCACAATCATTGGGGTTTGGTTAGTTCTATGTTTTAAATAATTTCATATGTCCTTAGAGAAAAAATTAAATATCAGTGAGGACTCTGGGATGTACAGCTTCATACGAGGAACTGAATGATTAATTTCACATCTGTATTTGTAAGCTTTAACATTTTCAAATGCACAAAATCTACAAACAGCTTAACTGGATGATAGAAAAGAATGAGAAAGTCAAGAAATGGATCCATTTAGGCATGTAAGTAACACCACTTCAATATCACTAGTCCCTTAATGAGTGATTGTTCTTGCAAGAAATTTTGCTGCATCAAGAAAAGATTACTTAATATTGTCTATTTCCTGGATGATCAAATGGTTAATGAGAAACTAGGCTTTGCAAAAAAATGGAGAATATCAATCTTTTCTTTGTGTGTTTTGAAATTTTCTCTTATATTTCTAAATTGCATTACTGTATATAAAATCTTTTTAACTGAGATATTGGGTTGGTTTTCTGAAACAAATATTATTTGGATTTTTCTGTTACAAACTTTAGTCATTGTAAATAATAATATGGAGAACTGGATTGAATTCAATATGACTCCAAAGGCATTTATTGTGTCCTAAAACTTGTAAGTCCCTCTGCTAAGCACTGAAAGATGCAAAGAAGAATTAAAGAAAATTTTATATAAAAAGTATCTAGCCAAAAAAAAAAGTATCTAGCCAACACAAATTAAAATTTCAGACTATGATAGATACTTTTAGAACTAAAGGAGTTCTTTTCTACAGGAAAGAAGTAATTTATTCTAACTGGATAATTGGGAGGTTTCTAAGAATAAATGAAAGTTAAGTCAGTTTCATTCATTAAGAATCTTTCCTAAGTTTATACAACATGCTATAGAAGATTGTAAGTCGACTACACAGTAATAATGTTGCCTGACATCAGCTGATTAAAAGACAACACTATTATCGTCAGAATAAGTGCCAGGTAGTCCAGACCTTACTACAAACAAGTAAACAGAGCACCATATTCTAACTCTGAGAATGTGTCTGTGAACCAGGACAGAGAAGCCCCGCTGTCTCCTAAGTATAACAGACTCTGTGATTGTCTACCTCTGATATGGAACCTTCATACATAACTTCCATGATATCAAATCATACTTTTGTCTTTTACTTCAATCTAACATTAAAATCCTTGAACTGTTAGGAATTCGTGGATTGTAAAGTTAAAGTCTATGATGAACACTAGGGGCATTTAAATTGTCCTTTACGTAACACCAAAATCTCAAGCAATTGCAGTTCTAATACAAATATGCCAATAGATAAATAAATGATTTTATACTCAAAAGAGATAGCTGTTTCATGGGCCAGTGTCATAGTTTATATTCTTTAGGGAACTCAGAAAAATGTCATAAACTTAATAAACATTCTTAATAATAAACAATTAATATTTACTGAATGAATAATGGAAAACTGCAACTGGAAAGCTGAATTCTTCAATCGTACTTACATGATGTCTTTTCTTTGAAAAGGCCTGGAGTGATCATAAAATTAAAAACTAAATTTCCATGCATACCACTTCTTGGTAAAGAGAAAATGCTTCTACTCGTCAAATTAGCTCCCAGAACAAGGCCACTCTGCCCATAACTTGCCAACATATATGGTCCTTCTCCAAGTCCTAGTTGAGTACAAGTAAGAGAATTATAAATTATCACGGAACTTTTAAATTTCAATCCATCATTTCAATGAAATAAATTTTAATACCAACCAATATTCTAAAAATATTATACAGTTGAAATGTATCATTAATAAAATAACTAAACTCTTTTCAAAAACAATATAATTTAAAATATAGCATACATATTTAGAATATGTAATTTGGAATATATAACACATACATATAATGAGTAGAAAATACTTGTGTGCATGTACATGTATACATAGTTTATATCTATGTGTATGTAAATTAAGGCTGTACAGATGAATTTAAGATCTAGATCTCTAGATTTCTAGATCTCAAGTTTTTTCAGCTGTAAGAAGTTTATCAAGGTAACCCTGCAGCCCTAACTTTCCAAGATCCTAATCTATCCTTCATAAAAATAAGAGGCTTAGCTGTATCTATGGCCAGGTAAAATGATAATCCTCTAAAAACCATGCCTTCTTAGTTGCATTGTATAAAAAATTTCACAAATATAATATATAATATTTTACTATTTAGAGAATTATTAAATTTCACCAGTGAAGTATGTCTTTAAAAAAGAGAAAATAAGATGAAGCTCAACCAAGAAATATAAGACCTTTTCACTTACACTCTCATTTCTCATGCACTGAAGTGTCTTTGCATAAAGTGGAAAATATTTACTATAGTGAAAATTGGTTAGTCTAGAATCATATGTGAAAGTCAGAGTAATTTTCTGCAAACTTCATCTTATAAAAAGTATATAAATGGAAAATTATTTCATTAGTATTCAAATGATTTTACACATTGCATTTAATGAAAATGAGATTATTTTGACTTCAACTTCTGTGCTATTTAATGTTCTTAACATAACTGAATATTATAAAACCTTGAAGTTTCTTCTGAATCATCAAATATTAAGATACATAATTAGCAGCTGTACACTTTTATAAATATATGTTTATTTTTGAATTGTGGGTTATATTAATATAGAGGTGGTAGGTCATATCATAAAAGATTAATCTTATACTCAGTCTATTTCACTTTCTCAGTTCTCTTATTTTTATCACAAACACAATTGTATCTTCCAAGGCCAACCCAGAAGAGAGAGGGAAAAGGATTCAAACAATATGAGAACAATGATTTTCTCTTTTAAGGACTGAAGACCAGCCTGAGAAAAAGAGAGAGGATAACTGCATCAGAGGAATAAAAAGTCTTCCAGGTAGGAGGAAGTTGAGGACCACAGTCTCCACCATGAGGACCAGGAGAAATGGGAGGGACCCAGAGGGTAATTTATGGTCAAGTGTTCCTTCCAGTAACATCTTTGTTGCCATACAGCAGCTGGGGACACCTTTATACCATGAGAAAAAGCACTTCTTTAAGGACTGAGATACTTTGAGTACAGATGAGGAAAAACTTTGCTAGCCCATCAAGTTGGAGCTCAGCAGAAACAGTGAAGAATTTCTTTACGGGGCTGGCATCTGTGGATCCACCATTTCAGTTACAAATGGATAATATACACAACATTACTCTGTGAGCCAAAATGTACAAAAACCAAAGAAAATTATGCCAAATCTCTTCACCACTTAAGGATTAATTATCTAGGAAGGACAGGGGCAATGACAAAAATGTTCAAGATGTAAATATTTTTCAACTTATGAATATGCATGTTTGCTTAAATATGTAAATACATGGACAAATATATAAAGCATACTGAGTTACGGTACAAAATGAAGAAAACATATACATAATAGCAACTCGAGGACTTGAAGAACCTGCAAAGGTATTCAACACAGAATAGAAGGAAAGAGGAAATGGACAGCTAAGAAAAATCTTCCTTTCTCCTATTGCACATACCCCTCACTACAGGAACCTGAAGTCATAACTTGAGAAATTCATTTGAACAAAATCCTAATGATTTTATATTGACTCCCAGTTAGTTGATATATTGCTTCTGGACTATTTTCATCAGCAATTGAGAAATAAAAGTCATTGAACTTATCATTAATTTTCTGCAGAGAATTGTATAACTTCAGAGTTGACTGAAAGCAATCATTTCCTATAGTGATTCTTCAAACAGAGAAATAAGCACATCCTGTCTAATAAAATCACACTAAACTTTAAAAATTGCCCAACAGTTTTTAGCAGGATAACAAAGTCTTTGCTCATCTACAGCAATAATAGCCATAAAACTTTTCCAATTTAAGTATGAGCCACAGCAGTGAACATGAATATATTATACAGAACCTTTGTGCTAGGGATTGTTGAAATAATCTCAGTGGGAAGCTCTGATTGTCCTATCATTTTTAAAAATTACTTGCTACAGAATCATGACTATTTCTGAGTTTTCTTTAAATAATATTACTATATGAATAACATAGTGTGTCCCATGTAGTAAGTAAAGAAAAGGAGAGATTTCATCTGTAAAAGTATAAAGAAGAAGGTAATGTTACAATAGCTGTGAAATTAGTTAGGAAGAAGTAAATTAAGAATAGTCATTTACGATCCCTGGTACCAAAAAAAAAAAAGAATAGTGATTTAAAATTATTTTCTTTTTATGATTACCATCAACAATCTCCACAAATCTATACTCTCAACCATCTATCTCTACTGAATTACTTTTACAAGCTCTTACCCACCCACCCCCACCTTTACCCCTTATAGTTTTCCCCCTATTGCTTTGATCCTAGAAAATATTCCTCTGCCATTACACAGAGCCTACCAGTGTCTGAGGAAGCCCAAATTCCCTGTTCTCACTCTGATGTTATTGTTACTGCATTATAAATGGAACTAGAAGAACTCTTTAGAGAATTCTGTAACACATTATAAAATTGAACCATCACTAGAAGTGCAGCAGACTTGACAGAAGGCAAAATGTGCCAAGTAGTAAGAAGCAGTGATTCAGTATGCATAGAAAATTCTATGCTGGGTCTAGTGGTCTGCAGAAGGAATGCCAGAAACTACAAAGGCACAGATGGAATCTTTCACAGAGAGCTGTGTGAGACAAGAATGTTTAAGTGAGAAAAGTATTGCAGGGTTTTCTCAAATCAATGTCTGTACGCATCATGGAGAACATGGAATAACAAATGTCTGGTGATCATTCCTACACAAGGACCTGCTAACTATGTTCTAGGCCAGGTGGCAGAGACATAAAGCTCACTGGCTCTGAAGTCAGATTCTTTCTAAGTGCCAGGAGACCACATTTTGACTAAATGACTTGAGCAGTTATTTAATCTCTCTGTGCCTCAATTTCCCCTTCTGAAAAGTATTGATAACAAAATAAAATGGCATATTGAAGTTTAAATTGCATGATATAAAAAAAAGTAAACACAGCCCAAACCATTGTTATTATTACTGTTGCTACCATTATTGGGCAATTAATTGAATTTTAGTCATGGGATCCAAAGAAGTAACATAGAACCTCTGTGTGTGTGTGTGTGTGTGTGTGTGTATATATATATATATATCTCCCTCCTTCCCTCCCTTCCTCTCCATTGATATAGAGTCTCCCTCTCTCTCTCTCCCTCTTGGCTTTCTCCTCTCACCCTCTGTGTGTGTGTGTGTGCATGTGCATGTGTGTGTGTGTGTGTGTGTGCATGTGTGTCTGTTTAAAATATTGAACAGGGAACAATTTAAGTTAGATTTTCTTTACACAGGGGCTTTTTTAATATTAAATTTTATTCACCTATCAAATTTCCATAAATGTAACAAAAACCAAAGCTAAAATGATCACTTTCTTTTTAATTCATCATTTCTATTTCTCTGAAGTTACCTAGCCTTCTCAGGCTTCGGTAGACATTTTACACCCAATAGATATCTCTATGCCATAGACTGATTGCTTGTCCCAGTTTTCCTATAGTTATTGCTCTAACTTAACCATCCATCTTCATGAACTCAGAGTTTGCTCCTTTCACAGTGCACAATTTCCTAGGTCATTTTACTCATCTGAATTAAGTTTTGGTGGCTATCCCTTCATCACTGAATAAATTTGACAAAAAGCAGACTTCTAACCTGCTATCTTTTGGCATTTTCACTGAAGATATAATTCTGTCTTTTCTCTACTGTCTTAGTTTTAGGCAGCCTATTTTCTCAGACTTTTCATGGCAATTCTGGACCCTTAGCGATATCCCAGGGCACCATTATTGTAGTAGGTTTTCACTCTGATATTATGTGTTTATGTTTTCCCATACTGATGGCAAAATTAATTCCTTTTGTTACCATAACATCTGCATTTTGTGTCTTTGATTTCCACAGCATGGTAACATTTTACCTATAGTCACAATACTGTGCAGTAGATACCAGAACTTATTCTTACTATTTAGCTGAAGCTGTGCATTCTTGGCCAACATCTCTTTCATCATTCATTCCCCACTCCCAGCCTCCGGTAACCAGCACTTTACTCTCTACCTCTCAGTTTGACTACTTTAGATTACACATATAAATGAGACCTTATGGTATTAATCTCTCTGCCTGGCTTATTACACTTAGTATAATGTCATCTATCATTATCCATGTTGTCATAAATGACAAGATTTCCTTTTTTGTCAAAGCTAACAGCTAAAAGAACTTTAAATATTCTCACTACAAATAATGACAAATGTGGGGGTGACATATGTGCTAATTAGCCTGATTTTATCATTTTACAATTTATTCCACTATCAAAATATCACATTATATCCCATAGACACTATTATTGTTAATTAAAAATGAAATAAAATTTAAAGGATTAAATATATGCTATTGCTTATTAAAAATAAATTTTAAAAAATTTGACCAATGTCCATGTTATACCTGATGATAAAATGTATATATCTGATGTAAAAAAAAAACTAATTTTACTCATCTACCCATGTTATTCCAAAACTATTTACAGTGTTAAGGATTTTTTTAAGTGCTGAGAATTTAACCTACAAGCTGTTTTATTTTTCATAAGATAAGGTTTAATATGAGTACTTAGAAATTTAGATAGGGTTTCACAAAGTGATAAATCAAGCAATAACTATATTTTGTTCAGAGTACAAATTGTTCAAAAATTTTTAATGTGAAAATACACCTAATAGAATAGTATAGTATGATATCACATACCTTCATTGTAATATTCACAATCAAGAGCTAAAAGGAAAAAAAAGAACAAATATTAAGCTATATATAACAAGCTGACCACTTATTTGAATACATGTAAGATATGGCCATATTTTATCAACAAACACATGAAAGAACAGAGTTTTATAACAGAGTTTTAGAGTTTTAGAACAGAGTGTTATATTATTTAGCAACTTCCTCTGAACAAAAGGAATTCTTTTAGGTGATGTGTCATAATTAATTAAATTTCATAAGATTATTTTAAAGGTATGCTATTATATCCACCAATTTAGAAACATCAACAGAAACTATTCAAATTGTAATCTGCTCTTCAGATGACTACCTACCTACATAAGTAAATAAAATATTTGGAGTCAAATCTAAAAGTTCAAGATTTCTTTTTTTTCTTTTTTTTTTTTGGTACCGGGGATCCAACTCGGGTCCTTGCGCTTGCGCAGCAGGCGGCAAAACCACTGAGCTAAATCCCCAGCCCAATATGATTCTTATTATCAGAACAGTAAAAGCTCACAGGTGTAAGAAGATTGGAATCAAATAGATTCTCTGAGGATGGCAAACGAGATAATTTATATTTCAAATGCTGCAGAGACAGCAGTTGAACACAATACAAACATTACCACAAATTTTTCATTTTGATAACTACAATTTCTCATTGTCAAAGGAACACAAAATGTAGTCATTTCTGTTTTCATGAGTTCCGTGGAATTAATTAAAAACAACTACTATAAATGTTCTTTTTATTTTTTATTATTAGTATATGTTGTAATACACAATACACAATAATTTCATTCATCTTGGGGACATCACATCTTGATTGTTTTTTATTTCCCCTTCCTTCCCCCACTCCTGTCTTCCCCAGATCCCTTTCCCATCTCCACAAGCTCTACCTCCCTAATTCCTATCATCTCTCTTTTGTTTTGCTCTTTATTTATATTTTGGATATCACCTGTAAGACAAAATATGTTTGATTTATTTCACTTAGCAATATGGTGTCAAGATCCATCCATTTTTTTACAAATGACTCAAATTTAATTACAGAGCTTTTAAAAAGGTGTCTACCTAAAGACATTCAAAGTAGGATACTCACAACAGTGAGTGGACGACCTCCAGTGAATGGCTATCCCCTCCTGACAACACATGTATGCATACGCTGCTATACTGGTGCATAAACACTCACAATCCCCACCAAGATTACAGTTGCACGTATCCTCATGGCAATTTTTGGCAAAAGAAGTAACATCAATCTGAAAGTGAAGTGAAATGTGACATAATTTTAGTACAGACTGACTATGATGAAAACTCAAACTTTTGAAGAAAGCTAACTGGTATGTGTTTCAAATTGGTATCATCAGCTTAACACTACCACCTAGAGAGCTCTCATTATCTCAAATCTGTACTGCAGAAAGGAGAAGGAATAATTAGGCAAATGTCACATCAAAGAGAGAGCAAAACAAGTAATAAGAATAACAAATAAATATAATTTCAACATCTGTAACATAACAGATTACTATTTTGGAAGTTCATTATTTCATTACTGGTACATTCACCAGCACAGAAAGATGAGCATATTCTGCTTCCAACTGTACTTTACACGGTTTTTTAGGCTCTTTTTAGGCAACATTCTAGTAAGTATGAATGACAATAGCAATTTCTTTAAAATTTCACATATTTACTTATTTTATATCAGTATTTTATATTAGTATATTAAGTAGCTGACAAAATTTAAAATACCATTGAAAAAGTGTTATCAAAGAAGCAAGATTTGATGTTATTCATCTGTATTTTATGTATAGAATACTTGATGTACTAATTTTTTTTTCAAGTAACTGCCAGGAGAAGACCTAGCAGGCTCTGTGTTTCAGAATACCAGGTTGGGCACAATAGTTCTTGTCAAGTAACTATGGTCTTTCAGAACACTGAAAAGTCTCAATAGCAACCCTTTTTATAAAGAGGATTCGACAGTCCACTTACATATTTCCAAAGTAGCAGTCCTCAAACTTTTTTCTCCAAATTCCTTTACCCTTTTAAATATTATCAAGATTTCCAAAGAATTTTTGTTTAGGAGATTATCTCTTTTTGAAATGTTTCCCTTATTCAGTTTTTCTTTTTTGGTAATACACGTTTGTAGTGCATAACCATGACATTTCTGTGGTGAGTTGGTGCACGTACATAACAGATTTTCATCCCCTCCTCTCCTTTCCTCCCACCTCCCTCCATCTGTTGGTCCCTTTCCCATTTGCAAAGGATCTATCTCCCTACTTTCTATTACCTATTTTTCAGTTTTTATTTATAGTTAAGTTTTTCATATAAGAGAAATCATGTAATAATTAAGCTTGTGGGGTTTTTTACATTTACTTCTTTACGTTATAATTTATATAATTTATTTTGTACATTATAGTCTCCAGGTGCATCCATTTTCCTACAAATGACTCTAGCTTGTCCTTCTTTATGGCACAATAATACACCATTGTGTATAAATACAATTTTATCAATTCATTTGTTGATGGACATATAGGCCACTTGCAAGATTTAGCTATAAATTGTGCTGCAATAAATATATAAATGTGTATCACTATAATATAATGTCTTTAGATCTTTTGGGGAGATACCTAGAAGGGGAATAGCTGAATTGAATGGAATTTCTAGTTTTTTGAACAATCTTCATACTGATTTCCATAATGATTATAGTAGTTTACATTTCCACCAACAATGTAGTAAGGTTCCATTTCCCCCATAGCCTCGCTAACATTTGTTATTATCTGATTACTTGATGATGACCATTCTTTCAAGAGTAGGATGAAATCTCAGTGTTGCTTTAATTTGCATTTCTATGATGGTCAGCAGTGTTGAACATATTTTTCATATATTTATTCACCATCTGTAATTCTGAGAAGCATCAGTTCATTTTAGTTGTCCATTTTTTGAGTTGTTAATTTTAAGGGCCTGATTTTTTTATTTCTTTATATATTCTAGATATTAGTCTTCTGCCCAAGGAATAGCTGGGGGAAAAAATTTCTCATTGTGTAGGTTGTCTTATTTATCATATTAAACATTAAAACTCAGGCATTTAAAAATAATAACAGATTCAAATATGAACCTAAATAACATTTCTCATGAAATAAAACAAATACATTGAATGTAACAAAAATAAATTAGTGAAAAGAGTACAAGGTTTTACATTTTTGCAAATTTCTTTAGTGTCTGGCTTAATGGCACGCTGTTGGGTCTCAAATCTGTTTTTCATTTAGTTTATCATAATGTTTAGATTTGGGGGGAGTGGTTAAGTTTCAGTTCAAATATGTATATTATAGTTGGAAAGGAATGAGTGTTTTAATATTGTTTCAGATAACTGCAATATGCTTTGATACTACCTCAAAACTCCAAATATACTGTTTCCTTAAAGATTAGGTACAGTGTGGGTATTTGGGCTGTTTCCAAGTTTTAGCTATTACAAACTGTGCTGCTATGAATATGGGTGCACATATATCACTGTGGTATGATTCTTTTAGTTCTTTGGGGAAGATCCCCAGCAGTGGAATAGCGGGGTCAAATGGGACTTCCAGTCCTAGTTCTTTGAGGTATCTCTATACTGATTTGCACAGTGGTTGCACCAGTCTACACTCCTACCAGCAGTGCAGCAGAGATCCTCTTTCCCCACAGCCCAGCCAGCATTTGTTATTGGTTGATTTCATGATAGCAGCCATTCTTTATGGAGTGAAGTGTAATCTCAGCTTTGTTTTTATTTGCATCTCTCGAATGACCAGTGATGTTGAACATTTCTTCATGTATTTATTTGCTATTTCTACTTCTGAAGACTGGATAAAGAAAATGTGGCTTTTTTATAAAATGGAGTACTACTCAGGAATAAAAATTGAGAAATTAGAGACATTTATAGCTAAATGGATGCACATTGAGGCGATACTCTTAAGTGAAATAAATAGGACACTTATGTATAAATACCGAATAGTTTCTCTGGTGTGAGAAACTGAAAGTGTAAATAAGGACTAAATGTATAATAGGTAATGTGAAATAGGAAGAAAAAGGGCAAAGGGGAAGGAAGTGGGAGGGCTAGGGGAAAGCATAGAAGGGAATGGGATTAATATGAGAAAATGGAAAAATAAGAACAAAATCTTTGTAAATAAGGAGCAATGGAGGGGTTGAAGGGAGGGCTGGGCAAGGGTGGAAAATAAGAACCAAGAGAGACTATGGAAAGGTGCAAATTTCCAATGATGAATGTCATTATATTGTATACCTAAAATGTACCAATGATTAGAATGAATAATCGATAATGCAAAATAGGAAGAAAAGGTCCAAAGGGGTAGGGGTAGTGGGAGGGGCAGGGGAAAGGAAAGAAGGGAAAGGAAAAATGATGAGAAATGAAAATAAAGTCTTTGTAAATAGGAAAGGGTGGAGGGGGTGAAGGGAGGGCTAGGAATGGGGAAAAAATAAGAACCAAGATGCATTATGTAAAGGTACAATTCCCAATGAGAAATGTAAATGTGTTGTATACCTACAATGTACCAATAAAAGAATTTAATTTAAAAAAAAAAAAGATTAGGTACAGTGTGAAATTTGAAATCACACCAATTAACTTTGTACTTTGTTATATTAAAATCCTTAGGTTTAACTTGCCCTTGAAGGGATCCTTTACTCCTCAATGCTTCCATGCCATCATGCATTGGCCATTTGAAAAATGCACTAATTTATGCGGATTTTCTAAATGTTAAGACTTTTGATTAGACACAATAGCAACAGATCACATTTGGTAATATCACCATCTTCACTACCAGAAAAGCCAAGTATTGAAAAAATTTTAAGTTCATAGTGGTGAATCCAGGTTTTACAAACTTTTATTTTTCAATTGGAGGTTCAAATTTTAGCAGACAAGTACTATCAGATTTTTTTTGAAACCACAAATTTATTTTACTGATTTTGAGATAAAAGCAGCCAACTTAGCTCACAGCTCAAAATTCACAGAGCTAACTTTCCTTGAGATAACTAGCATATCTTGGTATACAGCAGGAGTGTTGCTTATCTTCACAAATATATTAAACTATTTCAAAACTTATATTGAGACCTAAAATTATTATGCAAGGAAGGAGTTTAGAAAGTTAAATTTCTGGATAAATTGCATTCCACCTTAAAATGTGCTTCTAAAATCATTTTAAACCTGCTACGTGTAATCCTATTAGACTACACTTTGGGTTGAGAAGACTGCCCATTTGACAATGTTCTCTGAAGATAGGAAAACATTTATGATCAGAAAATGCTCTATATAAGCAACATTTCATAAAATGGAAGAGATTAGCATAAATAGTATGTATACATGAACATTGGTAAATAAGCTACCGGAGGGAGAATACAAATTAACATATTTAGTGACACTTCTACAGAAAAACACTAATAAATAATCCTCCAGCAATGGTTACGTAGTACACCTAAAAAGCCAATGGATAATGAAATTATTTGTCTTATTCATAATATAGATAGAGAAGTACATCTTGAAATTTGAGAGTTTAGTAAAGTATGCAGTTACCACATTGTGACAAGGAGCAAAAACATCACTGTACAAAATGGAGCATTCTTTTTTGGCATAAGGAAATTTGTTTTGATGTGCCTCACAGGGTTTCGTTATTTCACTTGGATCTTCACACTGTTAGAAAAAATTTAAAGGAGAAAGTTCAAAATGAGTGATTTCTCAGGCTAAAACCAAATTCTCCTACCAAACTTCAACCATGACAGTGGCATCTAATACATTCTCATTCTTTTAGACAGGCTTTACCTACAGTACATACCCTTACCCATAAAGGCTATAGGTTAACAGCATACATTGTTTTTAAAACAGCTAAACAGAATATTAAAATCATAGTGATAATAGAAGTAGAGTGGGGATATAATAATTTCTTGTTTTTCATGAATGAAAGTATTTTATTTATTTTTTATTCATTAAGTTTATTGATACATTTTATACATTCATCATTGCAAATTTTCACCTTTACATGATGTATCTTGGTTCTTATCTTTTCCCCATTCCCCTGCCCTCCCTTCAATGCCTCCAGCCCTCCCTACTTACAAAGACTTTGTTTCCGTTTTTTCCTTTTCTCATATTTTTTCCTTTCCCTTCTTTTCTTTCCCCTCCCCCTCCCCCTTCCCCTTCCCCTTCTCCTTTAGACCTTTTCTTCCTATTTCACATTATCTGTTACACATTTTGATCCTCATTTACACTTTCATTTTCTCACAGCAGAGACAATGTCTGTGAGTATGAACCTCTTTCTTTTAGTTTTTCCTTTTATATTTTTGTCATAGACCACTGTCTGAGGAATTGTATATACTCTAGTTTCTACAGACTCAATTCCCATTCCCTCAGCAATTTGGCTTCTGTCTCCTCTAATCCATCTTTGTGAACTTGCCTGGAGAGAAGTCACCGATGACCTCTTCATCACTAAATATAAAGGGAACTTTCAGTCTGCATTCTGCTTGACTTTCTGCTGCATTTCATTGTGTTTATACTTGGCCCTTCTTAAAGGTCTCTCCTTATTTGGTTTGTGTGAAACAATTTTCTGTTTGGTTATCTGTTACTGTACTACATTTACTGCCCTACTCAAACCTCTTTTTCACTCCCTTCTTTCTAAGATTTAATCCTTAGACCTCTATTTTTCTCATCTTGACTTAAACAGCTTGAATATACTAACAAATGTCAAATCCCATTTCCAGTCCAGATCTCAGTCCTGAATTTCAAAACTGAACATTTCCACCTACATATCTGGCAGTATCTTCTCTCAACACATCTTAAACTGCACACCATTGCTACACCATTGTCCCACCACCTCCTTATACAACTGGATTTTTGCCTTCCAGCCACTTTCTATTTCAAATCCCACACACAGCCTTACTGAACTTGAATTTCATTTTATGTGTGATACTCTCTCTAGCCCTGCTGACACTGCTAGACCTAGACAGATACTTCTTCCTTGTTATGTTGTCTTCTTTCTCATGAACTTCACCCAGAGCACTTTCTCCAGGAACCTATCTTGGACCATCTTGACCTTCACCTGTGTGTATTTCTATCAAAGTATCCATCCCCTTATATATTTATTGTTAATTTTTCTACCACATTTACTAACCTAGACTCTAAATTTCTTTAGAGGAGACTCTGCTTTACTTATATTCACCAAATCGTAACAAATCAGGACGTTGTGACTTCAAACATTCTTATCAATTAAGAAAAGCAATAGAGTAAAACAAAACAAAAAACAAACTACCAGACAAGAATAGAACCAATTTCCAACTTTAATCTGTTTTCTAAGTTACTACAGAGTTTTTCAAAATGTCTTCCATAGAAACTACATTACTGAGAATCTATAAATTAAAAAAGATTATGTGCAGTAATTTCAGGAAATTCTCCAACATCCCTCCTTTGTATGTTTATAAAGTCTCAAGAAATCCTTCAAAAAAGTAACCTAACAATTTGTTCAACTGCTCCCAAAGAGAGTTGATTACAAATTTACCCCAACACATGTACACACACACACACACACACACACACGCAGCACTTATTTTTATGTAACACTAATACCAGTAATGTTCTAAAAACAAACATTAAGAAGTTTTGCCTTCATGTCTTCATTGTTTGAGGTGGCACAAATTACTTAATCCTTAGAAATGCAAATAAATTGACAAGGCATTTTGCTATTGTTGGGAAAACATGTGAGAGATGTGGGTTTGAATGTCACCTCTGCTACTTTCTGTCCATGCAATATGTATTAGAGATGTCACTTAATTTCACTGGGATTAAATTTCTTCATCTATAACGTGGAGACAATATCTTTTGTATCTTAAGGTTATCATAAGAATTATATGAGAAGGTAAATATGAAAGTTCATCACCTATGAATTACTATGAAAATAGTAAATAAAGATATTAACCTAAATAAATTTTCTTCTAAGAATACAATATTCAAGTAAAAACAACTCTAAAAGTTTTTGTTTAGTTCTCAAATATATATATTCAGCTTACCTGTCCTAATGCCCAGCTATCTCCAAATACCTGAGCATTTCTCACTTCCAAGTTATTAGATGTGGTCATATCATTAGAAGTACACTTGTCAAAGTTTCCACACAATCCTGATAGTTTGTTCTAAAGTAAAAATATTATGAGATGTTTTATATTTACATTAACATTTAATGATTGATATTCACTATAAACTCAAAAGATTTAAAATATATATTAAAAACCTCCACAGCAATCATTTAAAAAATAAAAGCTTTGGGAAAAGTGGATTTTTCATACCTATTTATTTATATTTGTAATTAATTTAAATCCTCAAAAATATTTTATCAGACGCCAAATCTTATCCACCCACACTTATCAACATCTCAGCATTGCTATTACTGATCACATAAATAAGTTGAAAAATATAATTGTGCACTACAGTATATAAATACACATATATATGTATATAATTTATATACAAATATCAATCTTTTTATGATGAAAGGCCTGCTGAATGACATATTTAAGATTCTATAAATAACAAATATATAATAACAAATATAATGTAAGTAGTTATGGGTTGTGAAATTTTGATTGCAATAGCCATATGAACTATTTATATCTACAATATCCACTAGATTTTCTCCAACTGCTGCAAAAAAAAATCTTTACTCTTAGAGGATGGAGGAGGACTTGCAAAAATGGATGATCTTCCAAAAACAATACAACTCCTCCTTAAAACCTTGAATTTAAACTTCTTGAATTCTGTCTCTTCATTATTAAAATGAATGCAGCCCTTCATTAATGGTAAATAAAGTAGGCTGCTCACATATTCAGCAAAGCAGATGATAACCCTAAGATTACAACTGCAATGGTCACTTATTACCATGGGGCCTCTGTTCTTAGAAACTACACCTCTCCAAGGATAGTCACCATTTCTGGCAGTGGTCATGCAGAAGCTGAGGTAGCAAGAGAGATGTAGACAAACAAATGGTTAACTTGTTTCCAAAAAAGTAGAAAAGAGATATAAAATGAACAATGAAAGAGAATATAAATTGAAGAAGTATAGCAATAACCAAAGATTGTTTCAGATTCATCGAAGATATGCAAGATTCAAGCAAACCTAGGCGTAGATCTGAGGGCTTTATCCTCTTTATTAAATTTACAGCATATTACATTTTTTGAATGTATTTAAAATGTTTATGAGACTACATCATTTTTGGTTTTCTCTAATTTGACTAGATTTATTTTAGTTATAGCAATGCTTAGAATAAACAACTTTAAATATAAACATAAAATATTTAATCAAATTATAAATATTTTTTAAAAAGATAAACTATTTAACAGAATAATACTTTCAACAATTTAAAATACAAATCATCAAAAATTTTAAACAACTTATATTGAAGCTTCAATCATAAATAAGTAAACAGCTCTGGTATCTCCCCACAACAAAATACTACTCAAGCTATTAATTCATACAAGCTATTAATTCATACAACAATGTTGATGAATCTTAAACTTACTTTACCAAGTTAAAGAAGCCAGGCCCCAAAGGCTACCTACTGAACAATTCCATTTATGTGGTAAAGGCAAAAGCTTCAACAATAGAAAATACATCATTGTTTGCCTGAGGTTGAGGGATGAGGTAAAATTTGACAACAAACAGGTAACACGAGCAAACTGTGGGGGTGAAAAAATTGGTTCTATATAGAGCTGTGGTGTTGAGTTAAGATTCATGAATTTGTCAAAATCCAAGGAACCATATGACTCATTTTTAAAATATCTTATTACAATTTTGCTTTATGTAAACTTATAAAAATATTCAGAATGTGTAGTAAAATATAGAAAATAGGTTGCGAAAAAATCTAATAGTATTATGAACAAATCACATAACCAAGCTAAAGGAAGAGGGGAAAAAGGAGCTGACCTAAGCAACTTTGGAAAAAAAGTACCGTTAAAGTTAAAGTGAAAAAGAATAGTACACTAGCCTGGTATTCTAGTTGACTCTAGTTGATAATGTTCTTCACCACAAGAGTATGATTAGCAATTCTAAAAAGATAACATACTTCTTAAAGGAAAAACATCTATCATTTTATTTTCACCAAACATCAAAAGGTAAATGTAATTTCATTTTTCTCCCACCTCATTTAGGGCTTAGGTGGACATACCTTCCATTGTGGCCCAACTTTAATATGGATGGTTGTCTTCGTATCCCAAAGAATAGTGATATCTTCCTCAGGGAAATACACTACTATATAGAATCCAGCTTTCCAAACCTGGTATGTGGGATTGTCTTCCAGAAGGAAACCTGATCGTTTCTTCCAAAAGACAAAGCAAAACACAATGAGTATCTAAACAAAATATATACAATCAGTTAATATCTGCCAATAACTATCTGTGTACAATTACTGTTGTTTGGTCATGTGTTTTCTGAATTCTGGAATGGCCCCAGGAGACATTAAGGATGAGCTTTCAGAATTATAAATTGTACACTAATAATAAGTATGCATAACTGAGGACTAAAACTACATGGCATTGCCTGCAAAAGAAAGAAATCTTGCCTTGCTCATGTTTCTGAGTAGTGCATGACAGCATGTAAGCAGTCTATTGCTGTTATCAAATATTTATTTAAAAACAATTATTATGTTTTGTAGGAGGCATTGTCTTCCTAATCTAGTGAAAATTTCTACTATGAGAGAGAATTTGAAAACAAAACCACTATGAGTGTGTGTGTGTGTGTATCCATACAACACACACGTATATGTGTGTGCATGCATGTGAGTGAGAGAAGGACAGAGAGAAAGAAACAGAAACAGACACAAAGAAAGAGACAGGAGAGATGAATTAGAATCAAAAGGACTTAGGGAGGCTTTCTGCAAGAGGTGGGACAATGTCCTGCATAGGAGGGAATGAGAATAGAGAAGAAATCATTCCAAACAAAAGGAATCCCTTAAAGACTTAGGCACAGGAAAGAGAAGAAGGGAAAGGAAAAATTATGAGAAATAAAAAAAAAATGGAATCAAAGTCTGTGTAAATAGGGAAGGGTGGAGGGGGTGAAAGGTGCACAGGTAATGGGAGAAAAAATAAGAACTAAGATACATCATGTTCAGGTACAAACACCCAATGATAAATGTAAATTT